TAGTCCACAAATGCTAGGCACAGGGGCTGATTGTACTCTTCAGTCTTCTGTATAATCTGCCGCACTGTGTGGATGTGGTCTATGGTGCCGTATCCGCTCCGAAACCCAGCCTGTTCCAGTGGTTGGAAGTCATCAAGTCTTCGCGCAAGACGGTTCGCGATTACTCTTGAGAACAGCTTATAGACGCCTTATAGCCATGACCCACAAACGATTGCAGATGCACTCGGGACCAACAACGTACCTTCCGAAATACGGAGCTACTCGAGATAATAAATTTTTGGTCGCATATCCTATGACTTCCAATACCGGACGCGCTAACCACCGACCATCGAGCACCTACTGAGCCATTAGTGATGCCAAGTTGCTGTTCTGAAATGATGACAGGTAGCGTACTCACTTTCAACAAAGTCAAAAATAATTAGTCAACGTAGAAATTAATAGGACAGTGGTCATGCAAGTATCAGTCATGTAAGTAGTATCTACGCTTTCTAATTCCCTACATAATCCAATGTTTGATACAAGTCAAATGTAGGAGGAGTTATTTACTAATTCATTATTTTTAAACTTCAAAAAAAAGCGTGATATTTCAAACGTATACAAAGAATGCCACTTCTCTAAGCTCCAGAGTGCATCCGATAATTAAATAAAGCGGATTTTCCGCTTGATGTGTAGCGCCCATCGGGGTAAGTTACCATCCCCTTAGCGGCCCCACAGTAAAATGACACAACTTTCTATTGGTGTTGTGTTTCTGAAGGTGATTAAGGTTCCAAAGCTCTACGGGGAAAAGGGGATTGAGTTCAGGCCGGTAAGGTTTGGATGGATTAAGGTCGTAGCAGACATATCTATTCGGAAAGGGATCGTCGCCGTATCAACTCGAGCCGTTCAGTATTCCTACAAAATTTTTGCATTTATTCATACAAAGGTGAAACTCCCTTCTCCGTACTGGGTGTAAGTTTAGTTTTATTATTTCTTTTTTTTTTTCGTAAGACCACCACGGAAGTATATTTTATTATACTACATTAAAGTACTATACTAAAATTTAGAAAAAAATCAAATCAACGTAGCATAACATCGGTAAAGTCGTAGTAGTCGTAAGTATACGAGAATCGATTTGTGAAATGTAAACGAAATTATATTTAATAAGTCTGTTAGATTAATATCAAAAAATAATGGACAACCAAAAAACGACAAAGATGAAGTTTGGGAGTGGCTGACTTCTAAGTAAAAATTGTACCAAGACGTGACGTCATGCAACATTTTAAATCTATACACCGTGAATTTTGAGTTACCTGAGAAACTTTACTAGCTAATTCAGACAAAGAAATAGTTTTTCCTAATATTTTCGAAAAATGTCTCTTCACCTGAACTCACTAAAACATTGACAATATCAATTCTTATAATAATAAATCCATAATGGGTAAGTTATTTACAAATTTGCACCGTTTAAGGATAATTCGTAAACGATATAAATCATTTTTTTTGCATGCGGGTGCAGGCGTTGACTGTTTTATCTGTTCGCACTATTTATATACCTGATTTTTAAATTTCTCAGGTAACTCCAAATTCACGGTGTATATCACTGAATAATTTCGATTTTGTGAAAAAAATGGTTGCCTGTAAAGTCGGTTTTACGGGCGAAGATTTTACGTGACAACGTCTTTTTCTCGGTAGAATATTTATTGATATGAATATAATTAAATTGCACAATAGGAACAAGGAATTGAATGAAAATAAGAATTGCACAAATTTTAACTATAGAAATATATTTTGTTTACTAAAACATTGTACATGTAAACTTAAACTCATCGTAACGTTACCGAGCGTTACACTTTTTCATAAGTGACTCCCAGCCGCAACCTAATTTAAGACGTTGTCACGTCAAAAAAGAAATAATACGCGACCAAAATTTTTTTTTAAATCTATCTAATTGACGAAGAAGAAAACACGTTGGTCAACACTCTTATTACTTCAAACAGAAATAACGGATGAACGCCAAAAAGTCTCCCAATCAGTATGCACAACATTATCCCTAGCGTACTGTGTACAAACACACAATATTAAGGGGTTCTTTGGACCCTTTCGGCGTCTGTAACGTGGCTCTATTATTACGTGGCGCGAAACCAACAAAGAGCTCCCGCAATCTTAAAAACCACTGATCCCGGAGCCCACGACTCTAATTTCGACTCAAGTGAATTCGACTGAAGTGTACAAGCTTTCGCTTTTTCCCACCGACCCTTCTTGCTCGAACAAAATAAAATGGCCCGAAAAAGTTGCGTCTTGTAAAGTTCTGCGTGAATATTTTAAAGAAGAAGGCTAAATAACTGAGTGGGCTTTTTTCAATTTCGCAGACGCTGTGACTTTGCACGTACTCACGTTGAAACATTTTCAACATGATTAATGCTAAAATCTTATTCATATTTAGGTAGTCTTTTTTTTTCAATAGGTAAATTAAGTATTGCTACGCCTGTGAATAAAAATAAAGTTGTACTTTACAGTGTACTTTAAACATAAAATGTATACTTATAACCAACATTTTTCACGTGATAACGTTTATAAATAGTTGAACACCGGCTGCACGCACGAAAAAGTGTGGCTTCAAGACATGTTATGTGTCATCATGTCACGTTATGTAACGTCATGTCACGAGTTAGTAAAACGTTCCGCGGTGTGTGTGCGTTAGTTAGCTAGTTAGGTCGAGTGGTTCCTCGATCTACCTCAAAAAACCTCGAATAGCTTGCGAGCCTGAAATGTCATTGTCAAATTTTGTATGGAAATTTGAACCGCAGCGCCACAAAGGACGTAACGGGAACTAAAAATCAGTACACATTTGACAATGACATTTAGGACGCGTTAACTATTCGAATCCAATAATGGTTCGTGCTAAAGCCAGATTTACATTGATACAGTAGCTGGCGCCAGTTTTAGGCGCCTAAAAACGGTGCCAATAACTGGACTGGATTGTATCATTTACATTTTTGCCAGCAGTTGACTTTGAGGTTTAGTGGTGACTTTCATTTCTTCAATAGTTAACCTTTCCATATTCATTGAAGAGCAAATATTTTGCAGGGCGGTTATTCGCATCTATTTATTTCTATAATTTTGCGAAGGAATGTCCCATAAATACTCTTCATTTCTATATAAATGTATAAATTGTAATGTGTTATCATCACCCCACTTTCGAGACATTTTCTTGTCGAAAGTTTCAGCAAATCAATAACACGTGGTGACATTAAGCGGTGGCGCCAGCGACTGGCGTGAACGTGTTTAAAAAGATCCAGTGACGCTGGGAAGGGGCGCGGGGGATGCGGGGTGTGGGCACTGGCATGAAAAGTAGGCCTTCGTTCTACTCCATGCCAGCGCTGGCACCAGCGCGGGACTGGCGTCAAAAAATGTTTACATGGATCCAATGCTGGCATGCCAGCGGGACAGGCGCCAGCTACTGTATCAATGTAAATCTGGCTTAAGGGTACGGTTCACTACAAAAGGTAAGCCAAAAAACGGTAAGGTAAATGCACTAATTTTTTCCACCAATTGATATCCAATATTAGGAATTTCTCGAAAGACCAACTTTTAGAAATATGAAAAAACAGAAGCGCGATTTGCTTAATTAATATCGTTCGATCACCTGAGCACTGTGATTGGTGAGGTACTCGAATGACTTGCAGCCGCAGTCCCGAGCCCAGGTGTCGAGGAACAAGCAGATTGATGACGCGAGTTCGGTTACCCTGCCAGATTCCATTAAAGGAAGATGGATGGCAAATTGGACAGTAACCGTTCATTCGTGAAAATATCGATTCTCAATTTGATTATGATTTCCTAATTTCTATTTGACGATTTCAGGTGTATTCGTCGGACGTCATTGTTATTTCGTCCATAAAAAAACTTTGCCTGTAGACAATTTTTTTTATTGACTTGAAGTTTAAGTGTAAATATAATAATATCAATATTACAGAAATGTTTACAATTTTGAATAATGTAACCTGTTTAAATCCTAACTCTCAATAGTACAAACTTTCATTTTGTCTTAACAAAAACCTTATTTCGCACACATTTGGCACTGTTTTATTTATGTCAGTTTAGCACAAGTTCGGTGGTGTCGTATTTCTGTCGATAAATAATTTTTTCAAGGTTTCCAGAGGTAGCAGTATCAACCTGGGCATATTTTTACTTGTCACCTTTTTTACATAAAACATGAATTTACGTCTTATTTTAAACTAGCTGTTGCCCGGGACTTCGTACGCGTGGAATTAGTCATTTTAAGTTGCCTATTGTTTATCCAATCTGATTTTTCTCAGTCTGTTTACGGTTTGTATTTGAGTCAAGTTTTTAGTCTCTTAGTTTACCCAAGTAATAAGATTTTTCATACAACCTTTCATTAAAACCTAACACCCCCATTTGAAACCCTTCGGGGGGATGAGGGGGGGGGCGTGTTCCTTTCTTAGTGCACCCTTAGACCGTGTACTGTCATACTTTCAATATTTTTTTTTTCAATTTCTTTCAATAAATAAGAGCGACAGGCGGCCAGCAAGCTCCGCCTCCTCGTCTCGCCCGCCGCCGCGCCGAGGCGACTTGTCTTGCTTGCATCAAGCGCGCATGGATTTCCTTAGCAGAGTTATTTTAGAAATGTATTTATTATACTCTTCAAAGATCTTATACTTACAATCATCAACAAATATATTTCGAAAAAGATTATAACAGGATTTTATGTTGATAAAAAACTCTATGGCCCATTCATTAATAGGTACCAACTCTTAACATCTTACACACGTGATAACTTTAAATTTTGGGTGCTAACGGCCCGCAGATGCAGGCGGGACCAATGGCTTAATGTGCCTTCCGAAGTACGGAGGAGCTTAACATAGTAAATATTTGGTCACTCATCCAATGAACGACCACTGCGAAAGTTGCTTTACTTCAACGATTGCAGCCGAATGCGCTAACCACTTGTGCCATCGAGCACCTCTAAAATAAAAAATTATTAATTTATTCATTAATTTTATTGTTTCTTAATTAATATGCGAGCACGGCTGCACATTTCGCAGTGCAGATCTGAGCTGTGTGGAATCTATTCGCATTTCCGCCGCAACCGCTGAACGAAAACCCCTTGCACGCGTGTTGAGACATGTCAAAATACCACCTGGGAAATTCAAAAAGATATTACTATATAATATACGACAGCTTTTATCAATTGTTAATAAAAAGGAGCAAAAAGGTAATAGTTATTTCAATCTGATAAAAAATATAGGTAGCGAAATTGTATCCCATATTTAAAATAAAAGTGCGTTACACCCTTTTTATTCCTTTTTTCTTTTCTTTCTTCTTTTTATGACATAAATGGTAAAACCCCACCATTCAGAGGTCCATTGTAGGATTTGTAGGGGATAGGGATGGACGTTTTTACAATAACGATGCGCGATAACGATGCCATGTTCGGATTCGCGTATCCGATACGACTGGATGCCGTTATTGGATGCCGATGCCATCTAGTTTTTGTCAACGTTACTATAATATTAATATTAAATATATTATAATTGTAGTTCAAATTTTTGCCACCGGCACAGAAAAGTTTGTGGCACTGTTGCTATAGTAACGTTGACAAAAACTAGATGGCATCGGCATCCAATAACGTCATCAAGTCGTATCGGATACGCGAATCCAAACCTGGCGACCTTCCTGCGTTCAAAACCTACTCACTGAGTGAAACTTTTTAAGTAATAATTTTGCCAGCATTCAATATTTTCAGATAACATACCAAAAAGTAAATAAATGGTTTTCGATTACATTTTCAAGTCCTGATTCAAGGAATCGAAGAGACACACCCACACAAAACACGCATCTGTACTAATTCATATTGCATCGTATCCTGTGAGACTACGATATCGACATTCAATTGACATCGATGCGGGCATCCGATGCGATTTATGTGATACCGCATCGATTTCAAAAATATCTAAAAACGTCCATCTCTAGGAGGGGATAAGGGCTTTATTACAGCAGGGTTTAGCCTGATAACCTGAGACGCAACGAACCACGAACCACGTTATTAAAAACTTTTGAGAACACCGTCTAACCGAAGAGGTTTTTATATTTTATTTAACCTGACCCAATCCCCTACCTCGTTGAGCCCTTTTTTTGTGACTCTGGTAAAACCTCTATTTACTGACGACGGCGCCTTTAAGAGGCAAATCGCCGAACAGACCTCACACCTGGCTCCCGCAAGCCTTCCGAGGCCCGCAGTGGTTGCCCACTGAAGACCCCGTAACTCTTACGGGCGCTTTACGGCATAATATCCGCTGAAAAACCCTGCGAATACCCTCTAAGCTGCTTAGTGCGAAACCGCGGGATCCCCGTTTAGGGATTCTTCCGCGTCTCCGCACCCAGCAGCCTCCCGGCCTAGCCAGGGCTCCACGGCAGGGGTCTCCCGAGGTATTGCGGGGACCCCGCAGACGTGACCAGGATGGCCCGCGCGTGGGGGCTGAGTATGCGGCCTACCTCGTGGAGCCCTGGTAATCTGAGCCCGTGAACAGCACTATGTAGTACCAAGCCGTAGTCCCTCTTTAAATAGGTTGGCAAAGAAGCATAGCCCTCGTGATGGTAAGTGGCCACCATAGCCTATAGACGATACCAGGGGGCCATTTGCCTAACGGAAATGCTTTGGAAAACGCTAACGCTTTCGATTTTATTTTGTTATTTCTGACCGCCGAAGGTTTTCAAATACCTCACGCTCATTTTTTTTACTTTTCTTATTACCAATGCAAAAGAAAAAAAAAGAGCGCGTGGCATTTAAAAACCTCAGGCGGCTAGAAATAACAAAATGAAATCGTAAGCGTTAGCGTTTTCCAAAGCATTTGAGTTAGGCGAATGGCCCCCAGAGTGTCACTTCCGTTTTGCGTCGGCACCAAAGAGTTTTCTACTGTGGTCTTCGACAAAATAACTATAATGTATGTACATATCACAGATCTAGATCGAAGTAGACACCGCATGCACTTCAAATTGTATGGAAACCGAGCATGACAGATTTTGAATACCCCTACAAATAAATGGTGAAAAGCATTATATTTGCTTAAAAAACAAAATATATATAACTACTAGCTATCCCAGCGAACTTCATACCGCCATAAAAAATAAGGGTTGGTGGTAGAAGGTTGAAGGGTTGTATGTATTTTTGTATGATGTATCATAATAAAACAAAAAAAAAACAAAAAGAAAGGACATTGCTCGTTCCCCATACATTGAATGCCCTAGAACGCCCAGCAATGAGAAAATGCTAGTTGTGTTCGAAATCTATACTTATAATAAATCTGTAGAGATGTCAATTCTGTACATGAAATATATTTTTAAAATAACTATCAGGGGGTGATCAGTGATCGATACTGATGCCAAAAATGCAATCAGTAAATTTTTTGTCTGTCTGTCTGTCTGTCTGTGTGTTTGTTCCTTATAGAAACAAAAACTACTCGACGGATTTTAACGAAACTTGGTACAATTATTCTTCATACTCCTGGGCAGGTTATAGTATACTTTTCATCACGCTACAATCAGTAGGAGCAGAGTAGTGAAGGGAAATGTTGGGAAAACGGGAGAAGTTACTCCATTTTTTAAGCTTCCGTCGCGTGTGCAGCCTTAATGATTAAAGTTACATAGAAATCATGTATGACGGAAATATTCTACATAAAATTGTTTAAAAAATATCCCACAACAGAATATGTCTATCTTTTATGGTTGACTCACAATAACACGTGTAACTCCCGATAGCTTAGCAGTTCGGCGCATTCTGATCATATTTGTTTACTCTTACGTTTATAATACTCGGTATAGAAACACCAAACTTATACATGAAATAAGCCATCGCGCCGTCGCACGTGAATACTGAATCATGCTATAAGGATTATTTTTGTGTAACGGTTGCCGCGCTCGACACGGGTCGCGGCAGCGGTAGGGTATCAAAGGTCCGAGAGCGAGCTGTCTAAATCTGTTTTCTGCGTCGCTCCCCCCCTGGGGGACGATCGCTTCCGATGAAGCCTTAGAGGCCTTCCCGGCCAGAGGCAGCCCCTACGGGTGTTTTTTAGTCAGTACCTTGCAGCCGGCTGTAGTAGTCCAGTCATTATATACATTTGGAAATGCAAATGAACCGAGAAAGCCAAATTTTGGATATTACGTGGGGGGTGGCTAGAAAAGCTTAAGTTCAAATTGTCGACCAAAAAAACCTTGTGGGTTTTCCGCCATCTTGAAAAAAGGGTTAAACTCAGTTTTTTTTATCATAACTCGGTTCCCCGTCGAGATACGAAAATTTTTATGGAATACTTTTTTGTTGCTCTTTGTACGATCTACAATTAAGGTCCTATACATTTTTCGCGTATCGACCATCGTTATCGAGATATCGATAAAAAAAGCCACAAATTTTGGGAGAAAATTTTTTTTTCGCTATTTCCTTCTTTCTCGCGAAAAATATCGAAAAATGTTTCGAATAAAACTTGTAGAGCCTGTTCAGACCTACAAATTCGTTTTTTAATTTTTCATTTTCGAGAAAAATTACGACCTCCAGCGCGCCGCAAAGTGAGTAAGACTGTGCCCGGTTTCGATTTAGCCGCTCGCACGGTTGTATCCACAACGTAAAAATTGATGAATTATTGGTTAAGGGAATTATTGGTTAAGGGATTTATTGGTTAAGGGATTTATTGCTATACAAAATAAATGAATAATCCAGCCAAATTATAAATCAAACACATGAAATTTATTAATCAAAAAATGTTTATGCAGCAAAAATAATAATATTACACGTGGTCATTTTTGTCACACGTTTTTCTTCGTTTTGATGGTCCTGGCTGCTGTTGAAGTTCCTCCTCGGTACACTCTTCGAGTCGGGTAAATTCTTCAATCGCAGGAAATGATGCTGTGACGGTCGAAAAATCGTAATCTTCATCATCGTGATCGTCATTGAGTAATATCTCGACTTTGGCGACATTGTCGCATGTCTGTCCACTACAGTGCAGGCAAATAACCGAGCAACTAATTTCTGCTTTCCTGCACCCACAAGCAGCCCCACACTTTCCTTTACATTTGCACGAAATTAGTTTTAAAAGTTCAGGTGGAGCGGAATTTTGTGGCTTTTTTTATCAATATCTCGACAACGATGGTCGATACGTGAAAAATGTATAGGACCTAATTGTAGATCGTACAAAGAGCAACAAAAAAGTATTCCATAAAAATTTTCGTATCTCGACGGGGAACCGAGTTATGATAAAAAAACTGAGTTTAACCCTTTTTTCAAGATGGCGGAAAACCCACAAGGTTTTTTTGGTCGACAATTTGAACTTAAGCTTTTCTAGCCACCCCCCACGTAATATCCAAAATTTGGCTTTCTCGGTTCATTTGCATTTCTAACCCGATTTTTCCGACGTAATGACTGGACTATAGGGTATCCATGAGGATTTCTCATCTGCTCCCCCGCCTGGGAGACCGAAACCGTGCTTATCAGCGCGACTTTTAGTCTTTAAATAGTTTATTTGAATTTCTTTTGTTGTTATTTTGTAAAACAGGTATTAGTTGTTTTGGTAGTGTTTAAATATTCGTTCAAATTAAAAATTATTAAGCGTAGGTACTTTTATTAATTAAAGTAGTTATAAGTATTTATTTTTAAGTGAAGGAGGTATAGGTAGATAGTATTGCACAGGCGTTTCAGCTTTATTTTCATTTCTTTTTTGTTGTGAGTTGTATATATTTCTGGTTATAATTCTATAAGAATATTTTAGTTCAAATAGTCACTTAGATTTTATGTGTAAGGTAGCTAAAGTTAGGACCACGTATTAGTTGTTTTGGTAGTGTTTAAATATTCGTTCAAAGTGTAATTTAATCATATAGGATGAATTTACGATGGCCCATCGAAAAGGAGTAGAAGCGGTAGACAGAACTTTAAGAGATATAAGACTGATGAAATGATCGACCCATGGGCGGTATCACAGTTTTATTTTGTGGTGATTTCCGACAAACCTTAACGGTAATACCACGGGGAACCCGAGCTGCTGAGGTTAGGGCTTGCCTGAAAAGCTCTTATTTGTGGCGTGATATACAATCGGTGCATTTGACTATAAACATGCGAGTGAGAACTGTAGATAACCCGGATGATCGTGAATTTTCTGATATATTATTAAAGAAAATATCTTCACCAAAGATACCTATCCACTGCTACACCAAGGAAAATTTATTCTGACGCCTGAGTTATGTTGTATAGTGCAATCCCAACAACATCTTACATCGTCAGTTTACGGTGACGTAACAAATATATTAAATAAGAACAATACTTGGCTATGCGAAAGGTCCATTTTAACTCCTCGCAATGACCAGGCATCTGAGATTAATAATAAAATACTGTCGAATGTCCAGGGGGAAAGCAAAGTTTATAGTTCAATAAATAGAATGGCCGATGAACAAGAAGCCACTTATTACCCGATAGAATTTTTAAATTCTTTAAATATGCCCGTACTTCCTTCTCATGAAATTTGTTTAAAAATTGGCATTCCGATTATTCTGCTCCGAAATTTAAGACCACCACAAATTTGCAATGGAACTCGGCTTAAAGTAACCCAGTTGCAACAAAATGTAATCGAGGCTCAAATTTTAATAGGTTGCGGTGCAGGAGAAACCATCTTTATTCCCAGAATTCCCATAATACCAAATAATTTTCCATTCCAATTTAAAAGAACGCAATTCCCAGTATCGGTGTGTTATGCAATGACAATAAATAAGGCTCAAGGGCAGACCTTTCGTGTTGTTGGAGTAGATCTCGGTGTCAGTTGTTTTTCACATGGTCAGTTATGTCGGTCTTTCCCGGGTTAGCAGTCCTAGAATTTTTTATGTTCACGTTCCGGACGGGTCAAATTTCAACGTAGTCTACCCGGAAGCTTTGCGCTGAAGTATTTTCATTCTATATGTACTTAAGACTCATGTGAAAGCGATCTAAACAATATTACCAATACATTAACATAATAACATACAAGGAGTTACACGCTGATGGTCTCGGGGCACAGTGATAATAATAATATTCTGCGGTTCCTTATTGTGATATTTTTAACAGTATTATATTTCCCTACTAAAATACGAAAGTTAATCTGTCTGTCACATCAAAACCACGGAACCCTGAGGAAGGACATATGCTACTTTTTTACGAAAAACGACGATAACGCGGACGAAGTCGCGGGCAAAAGCTAGTCATTCATAAACTCTAATTAGGCATTTGTTGAGATACGGACAACTTGAGGAACCGTGCCCTACTACAGAATGTATTTGATTTTGAGGTTATAATTATTATACTTAATCGTAAAAGATATACACTTTATATATTCTGAATAGATTTAGTGTTTACCTCTATGTAAGCACTTAAATAATATGCATTAAATGAACATAAAATGCAATTAATAATAAAAATAATAAATGCTTATATTCATATTGATTAATGAGTGTTGTCAGTTGGCACCTACGATACCTATACCTTACCTGTAGTAATAATAGATTTCTTTTCAAATGAAATGTTCAGTCTTTCCATTTACCTGTTTCTATATTTTACTATCGGTAATTAGGTATGTACCTGGTTATCATTATGATTTTCATAAAAATAAACAGATATTATATGGAATGTGAGTATAAACTATCTTTACATAATTTCATAAATAATCTTTTTATAAATATAATACTAGTAATAAGTATTATTAACTAAGGTATCTCTATTTTTCTTTTGGTAAATACCTATGGTCGCCTCTAATGCATTTATTAAGGTAAACAATCTTGGCACAACTTTTTAACAGAATCACCCATTTAATAATAAAATATTAACGAAGCCAATAAACTATTAAAATAAATCGTTATTATAGACTCAGTTGATTTTTAATGCTGTTATTTCAATAAAAAGGAGTGCCAACTTGGATGAATAGACTGGAGTATCTAGTAACAGAACTTTATTTTTTTATTTTTTTAAACAGATTGTCCGTTTACTATGATTAATTGCTAATATGTTAAAAAAATAATAGAAAGATAATAGTAAAGGACATTCTTTTGGGCAAGCTAGGGCCGATTTCGTCGATGTCCTTTAAGGTTGTTCAACATTTAGGGGATGAAAAATAAATGTTGTCCGATTCTCAGACCTACTGAACATTCATTTCTAGAAAATTGATTTTTGTTCAATTACGCACACCGTGACACGAAAATTTTATATACTAGAGAAGATATATACATATATAAATATAGTTATATGTAGTTAATAATTATTATCGGTTTGTCAAGTATCCTGTCCTGACATTAGATAGACATATAGATGGTAGTTCAGTTTATAAGAAGGAACACTTACATGGGGTAGTAATCGTTGCAATTTCCAAAATCAGGCTGTAGACGACAAAAAATATCTGCACTTAAATTCCTCTTAATAGTTTCTTGTCCTGCATCTAAAATCAAAACATTAATGGTATAGTAATAAACCGACTCCATTAATAAAAAAAAACATTGTGTTATTTTTCATACCTTTTTAATAAATATGGATCATCTTATTTAGTCTTAAGTCTTAATCAAGTCTGTACGGTCGTTTCCTTGTGATTAAAGAAAGAATATTCCATTTCTTTTTATGTTAAAATGGTGTTTAAAGGGAAACAAATAAGCATATGGCTCATTTGATGGTAAGAGTAATTTAATTTTTTACCACGTACGACAAAACTGTGGAATATATTGTCGCCAGCAGTGTTTCCGGACCAATACGACCTAAAAACCTTCAAAAAAAGAGCGTACTCCTTCCTTAAAGGCTGGCATCGCATTTGTGATACTCCTGGTGTTGCAAGTGTCCATGGGCGACGGTGATCACTTACCATCAGGTGAGCCGTCTGCTCGTATGCCACCTATAACATAAAAAAAAAGGAGGCCACCATAGCCTTTAGACGCTTGCAATACTAAAAATATCACTCGACTCCCCTACCCCGTGGAGCCCTGTAACCTTATTCACCTACAGAAACACAACACCACCAAAACATGGAGCCATTTTCTTATTTTTTATTTTTCACTAAAATACAGTACAAAAACAACTTATTTTGCCAATCTGAAAAGTCAGTTTGTTGGCGAATAATACGCTGTTTACATTTTTTTTTCTTTCTATATGCATATATATATCAGCTAGTATATATATATATATATATATATATATATATATACTAGCTGACTCGGCGAACTTCGTACCACCCAAAAGTAATAATTTGCAATAAATTAAAATTGCGACTATAATTTGAGATTTAAACTATCCTATCTCTCAAGTTGGATCGTACTGCACATGGTGTGCGAATTTTATTATAATTCGTTCAGTGGTTTAGGAGTCCATTGAGGACAAACATTGTGACACGAGATTTATATATATTAAGATATATATATATGTATATGCATATAGAAAGAAATATATTATATACTAGCTTTTGCCCGCGACTTCGTCCGCGTTATCGTCGTTTTTCGTAAAAAAGTAGCATATGTCCTTCCTCAGGGTTCCGTGGTTTTGATGTGACAGACAGATTAACTTTCGTATTTTAGTAGGGAAATATAATACTGTTAAAAATATCACAATAAGGAACCGCAGAATATTATTATTATCACTGTGCCCCGAGACCATCAGCGTGTAACTCCTTGTATGTTATTATGTTAATGTATTGGTAATATTGTTTAGATCGCTTTCACATGAGTCTTAAGTACATATAGAATGAAAATACTTCAGCGCAAAGCTTCCGGGTAGACTACGTTGAAATTTGACCCGTCCGGAACGTGAACATAAAAAATTCTAGGACTGCTAACCCGGGAAAGACCGACATAACTGACCATGTGAAAAACAACTGACACCGAGATCTACTCCAACAACACGAAAGGTCTGCCCTTGAGCCTTATTTATTGTCATTGCATAACACACCGATACTGGGAATTGCGTTCTTTTAAATTGGAATGGAAAATTATTTGGTATTATGGGAATTCTGGGAATAAAGATGGTTTCTCCTGCACCGCAACCTATTAAAATTTGAGCCTCGATTACATTTCGTTGCAACTGGGTTACTTTAAGCCGAGTTCCATTGCAAATTTGTGGTGGTCTTAAATTTCGGAGCAGAATAATCGGAATGCCAATTTTTAAACAAATTTCATGAGAAGGAAGTACGGGCATATTTAAAGAATTTAAAAATTCTATCGGGTAATAAGTGGCTTCTTGTTCATCGGCCATTCTATTTATTGAACTATAAACTTTGCTTTCCCCCTGGACATTCGACAGTATTTTATTATTAATCTCAGATGCCTGGTCATTGCGAGGAGTTAAAATGGACCTTTCGCATAGCCAAGTATTGTTCTTATTTAATATATTTGTTACGTCACCGTAAACTGACGATGTAAGATGTTGTTGGGATTGCACTATACAACATAACTCAGGCGTCAGAATAAATTTTCCTTGGTGTAGCAGTGGATAGGTATCTTTGGTGAAGATATTTTCTTTAATAATATATCAGAAAATTCACGATCATCCGGGTTATCTACAGTTCTCACTCGCATGTTTATAGTCAAATGCACCGATTGTATATCACGCCACAAATAAGAGCTTTTCAGGCAAGCCCTAACCTCAGCAGCTCGGGTTCCCCGTGGTATTACCGTTAAGGTTTGTCGGAAATCACCACAAAATAAAACTGTGATACCGCCCATGGGTCGATCATTTCATCAGTCTTATATCTCTTAAAGTTCTGTCTACCGCTTCTACTCCTTTTCGATGGGCCATCGTAAATTCATCCTATATGATTAAATTACACTTTGAACGAATATTTAAACACTACCAAAACAACTAATACGTGGTCCTAACTTTAGCTACCTTACACATAAAATCTAAGTGACTATTTGAACTAAAATATTCTTATAGAATTATAACCAGAAATATATACAACTCACAACAAAAAAGAAATGAAAATAAAGCTGAAACGCCTGTGCAATACTATCTACCTATACCTCCTTCACTTAAAAATAAATACTTATAACTACTTTAATTAATAAAAGTACCTACGCTTAATAATTTTTAATTTGAACGAATATTTAAACACTACCAAAACAACTAATACCTGTTTTACAAAATAACAACAAAAGAAATTCCAATAAACTATTTAAAGACTAAAAGTCGCGCTGATAAGCACGGTTTCGGTCTCCCAGGCGGGGGAGCAGATGAGAAATCCTCATGGATACCCTACAGCCGGCTGCAAGGTACTGACTAAAAAACACCCGTAGGGGCTGCCTCTGGCCGGGAAGGCCTCTAAGGCTTCATCGGAAGCGATCGTCCCCCAGGGGGGGAGCGACGCAGAAAACAGATTTAGACAGCTCGCTCTCGGACCTTTGATACCCTACCGCTGCCGCGACCCGTGTCGAGCGCGGCAACCGTTACACAAAAATAATCCTTATAGCATGATTCAGTATTCACGTGCGACGGCGCGATGGCTTATTTCATGTATAAGTTTGGTGTTTCTATACCGAGTATTATAAACGTAAGAGTAAACAAATATGATCAGAATGCGCCGAACTGCTAAGCTATCGGGAGTTACACGTGTTATTGTGAGTCAACCATAAAAGATAGACATATTCTGTTGTGGGATATTTTTTAAACAATTTTATGTAGAATATTTCCGTCATACATGATTTCTATGTAACTTTAATCATTAAGGCTGCACACGCGACGGAAGCTTAAAAAATGGAGTAACTTCTCCCGTTTTCCCAACATTTCCCTTCACTACTCTGCTCCTACTGATTGTAGCGTGATGAAAAGTATACTATAACCTGCCCAGGAGTATGAAGAATCAAGTTTCGTTAAAATCCGTCGAGTAGTTTTTGTTTCTATAAGGAACAAACACACAGACAGACAGACAGACAGACAAAAAATTTACTGATTGCATTTTTGGCATCAGTATCGATCACTGATCACCCCCTGATAGTTATTTTAAAAATATATTTCATGTACAGAATTGACATCTCTACAGATTTATTATAAGTATAGATATATATATATATATATATATATACCCACCACCACTATACAAAACTTTACAAAATTTGGCACACAGATAAACCATTATCTGGTTAAAAGTAAGTATGCGCTGGTTCGGACATAGGTTACTTACTCTTAACCAAAGTCCTCTGCAACAAAATTATCCAAAATATCTTTTTTTTAATTTTCTTTTAAATATATGTTTACTTCTTCTCTTCATATACCAAGCATATCTGTCTTCAGTAAGGTGGAGATTACTTCCCCAGACGGGCGCTCCAATTCGAGTGGGATAACCGATATGCCATACCTCTTCTAATTTTTAGTCATGAATGAATCTTAAACTCACCACGGCAAGTATCCTGACAAATCGATAATGTTTTGAAATTATTAACGTTATGCGGACAAGTACCGAACTGCGCCGTTTTACAATCTTCCATTTTTATGTCGTAGTAAAATCTGCAAAAAAAAAGCAACCCTTTTGGCCAACTGTCCTTTTATAAACAAGCGGGTGTTCGCGGCTTAATTATTTATTTTCCCATACAAACTTCATCCCTCTTTTTCAACCCCTATAAGAATCATTTCTGAGACTAAAAGTACCCCATGTCCTTTTCCGGAACTCAAACTTTTTCTAAATTCTCTGAGGCGGTTTAAGTTCACGTTTAAACAGAAGTGAAATACAGGCAGACACACTTTCACATTAATTAAAATAGTAGTATGGATACATTTTTGTCTTGAAACTTCTTGGCCAAACAAATTTACATCATCTAAGTTGTAAGGAAAGAAAGCGACTTCTCTAGTAACTTATATTTGTTCGTTGAAGGAAATAAAGCAACTTGTCCAATAAATAACTACCTATATGTATTTTCTCAACTTCCGTTACATTATTTGAATATATATACGTCTAATATTAAAGAGTCGAAGTTGAGTGACTCCCTGACCAAGAAGTGCATCGCTTTTCGTCCGTCGGTTTATATATTGATGATATACTGTATACATCTCGTCCCTTCCGGTGATAGCTGCTCCCAATGGTGAGAGACTGTTGCAAAAATGACGTGCGCATCTGGTTTGCGCGTCGCCACGTCCGGCCGCTGGATGGAGCCACTTATGAACATATATATTTACCCTCTTCAGCAAAAAGCCTCAAGCTTTTCGCCGTTCAAACTCTTTTCTCATTTCATTAAAATTGGTTCAGCGTAACAGACAGAAGGACAGAGGCCAATTAGGTTTGATATTGCGTATTAAAAAAATAACAATATAAGATAGTATTACCCATATGTGGGGTACCGGCCTTTCTTTTCACAGTCATATTCATTGGGTTGAAATTTACAAAGAACGCCATAGTCTGATATATCTTCGACTTGAAAAGGAAAATAAAAACAGTAAGTTTAGTTACTGGATATCACGGAAAATATGAAATCAGTATAAAACAGAAGCGATAGACCAAACAGTTAGCCAAGCCTCGTATAAAAATTACTTCAGGCTTGCAAACAATATTATAATATTGAAACCATCTTTCCACACTGAACTCTGAAAGTCGGATAGTGTGAAGGTCGGGCAAGAAATTTCCTCACCTTAACACTGGTGTGAATGCTCAATGTTATGGCGGGGAAGCCGAAGTACTTTTCTGAACGACGATAAATTTTGTGAAATAGGAGCAGCCCGCGATTTCGTCCGAGTTAACTATAGTATTTTGAGAATCCCACAGTTTCACATTTTCTAGGATAAAAAGTATCTTTTGTCTAAATTTCAGTCAGGGTTGCCAGATGGCCGGGATTTCCGGGATTGTCCCGGAATTTTGCGTGTTGTCCCGTGTCCAGCAATTAAGACCTCATTGTCCCGGATTCCGATAATGTGCTAGTTTCGTAACAAAATAAACTAATAACGAATGTCACCTGCTTGATGTTTTAATTCTGGGGGTGATGGGGGGTTTGATTTTTGCAAATGTCCAGGAATTGATAAGCCAGCATCTGGAAACCCTCAGTCCAAGTCTAAACTATATTCGTACCCAATTTCATCTAAATCCGTTCAGTAGTTTTTGCTTGATTGAGTAACAAACACACAAGTTTGATATTTATAATTATAGTGGAATTGTGATGAAAACACAACATCCAATGAGTTTGAATATTTCGTGTATGAACTTGTCGCTGCTCGTAACCGAGCAACGGTTCTTATTTTATAGTCGAATTCTGCAGATTTTTTGTAAAATTATGGAATTAAATTACTTATTTTTCTCTAACGCATTGTTTGGAATTCAGTATATCCCTCGCAGGCAGTTCCATCTTAAGAATCCCCAATAATTTCCATCACAGGGATTGAAAGCTATTTCATACAAAATACTGAATAGGAAACTCAGTCGCGTTACGATCACAAGTTACAATTTTCTCTCGTACTACGTCAGCCACTCTCGTGTTGAGACTAGTTTTTACTTTCAAGCTTTTACGGTAATTATAAATACTTGTACCTTCCAATAAAATAAAGCTGATGGTGAAAACTGTATGAGAATTCGTTCAGTAGATAGTGTGAAAGGTACATACAGACATGCGCGGTGTTGTGGTGTGGTTATGTGTTACGGTTACGCGTTACGATTAGTGTCATCGGTAAACAATGAACAATGCCTGTCACAAAATACATGATACAACATGAATACAGTGCTAACTTACATGTTTACTTGATGTTAACTATTGAAATTGGTTTTTTAATTAATTACACAACGTAATTTATCAATATACAATAACAATTTAGTATTTCATTATTAATTCTACGCCATTGAAATCCGCCGTATGTTAATTTTTTTCTATCAACAAATCTTCAGGTTTATTTTATGATTTTCAGATCATTGGAGCTAAAGAAGTTTCACTTCAGTCCTGTGGTCATAACAGGTCGCTCGCTTTTTTTTAATAATCAACGTTATGAACCTACAAAATCCTTGATCAAATGTAAATGGCCAACAGGAAAACTAACCAGTTCTGTTAAATAACAGAAAACAAACACCCTCGGCACTTTGATCATACCATCTGCTCAGTCGGCGATAATTAATTTATTATTTAATAAGGAATAAAATAGTAACACAGAGTAGTCTTCACCATTTTATATTTTCTTCACGTTTTACCGTAAAAAATTGGGTGGTATTTTCAAAATAAAAGGACGCATATTTTTCATTATATCTTAACAAATACACTTGTTAAACTGATGATATTTTAGTAGCAAAGTATATTAATCTTTTTTCAAAATATATAGACAGTAATGTGAAATCATAGCTTGTTTTGGAACTATTAAAGGTAGAAAGTGTGATTCTAGTTACTGGACAGCTGATGGAAATTATTAAATATTGGCTAGAATTAACCCCAGCAAAATAAAAAACCCCCAAATATTACATACTTATTAGATTTGTATGGATGCTCAAAAATCAGGTCAGCTGAGAATGACTGAAATAATTTCTGAAAAAAATGTCATTGCTGTGCAATATGCATAACAAGATGAAATCATTTCTATTTTTCAACTATAGCGGATCCTGGACTAAGGATTATGGTAATGAACGGACCCGAGGAATGTTGTCCTGCCCGATAAAAATATAATATGAATCGTACAATCTAGCTGCAGCTCCAACTTACGGGTAGAAATGCAACTTTTTTAAAATTTTATAATTTTCTGCGCAACTGTCTTAATTTCTCCTCCTTCTGAAGATTCTACAAAGTATTAGACAACTTTAAAAAAACACAGATTCAAAGGCTATAATAAAGTTTACCTTTAAGAGGTACCCTTGTTGTGATATCTTTTTTACATTGACACACATTCAAAAGAATATAAATAAATAATACACGAATTTCGGAAACAAGCATGTTTACATAAAATTTAACTACAAACACTACAATCCAAGCAGTTTGTTTCAAACGATTACTAAAAATTTACAACTAAATCGATTTCTAAATTTTATTGCAATGTTACAGTATGAATAAAATCGATAAGATATAATATACCTAGCATAGTTCAAATTCTTTACGTTTTACCAAGAACTGGTATTATTTGATATTTTAGTGTTTAATTAGTCCGACTAGCAACAAGAGCTAGTTCTTGTATAGCAGCATTCAACGCCTGTTTTTCAAATTCAGGAGTAATAGATTTTTTGACATTTTCTAAAATCCAATCTATCATCCACTTTTGTTGTATACGTGCTTCAGCGTTATATCTTTTGACATGATAATCCATACGCCCCTTAACAGTTGTATAAACGAGCATGTACCTCTCCCTATAAACTGATTCAAGTTGCATGGCGATATTTTCTTTCTTGGCATCCATTAACAACTGTTGCCCTTCAGCGCGCCATTGTGAATCTTTAGCAGATTTTATAGCATTTTCATATGCGTCAATTTCATCTTTTCTACATTTGTCGAATTCTGCTTGAACGGCATCGACTTCCTTATCCAATCCAGATGCCAAATCAGGTCCTAGGTACTTCACGGCTCCAGAAATCACAATCAAAATAGATAGACCCAAATAATATTCGTGTTCCATAATGAAAATCTCTTTGCTTATCATATAATTAGCTAGAACTAACATAAACAAATATGGTCCCGTGACACCAGTTTTTGAATGGAAAAATTGAAACCATTCATCCGGAATGAAACCAAATCTTACTTTTCCAGAATAAAGAGCTCGCTTTGGGCCTGGTACCTTTGAAACAGAAGATCCAGAACCTGGAGGCATGGCATCTTTTTGAGTTATGGTTTTAGTTGGACAGTATGCTGAATACGTAGCCAAAACTGTTCTAGGTAATAACAATCTTGATCGAATAACGAAATTAAAACTTCTTAACAACATTTTTTCACTCAATGTCCATTTAACATACTTAATAGGATAAAACTATTTAAATTTTTTAGTTGGCTAATATTTGTGGTGTTCAAACGGAGTTATGAGAAATATTACTGTCTAAGTGATATGTTTAGTGTCACCGGTGTCACCTCATTGGCACCTGAGATTGGCACAAATAACACTTTATGGTTTTTATTTAACCTTTTTACTCTTTAACCGTAATAAACATGAATAAGCGAAAAAACCATGGATATCACTCCGAGTTCACTCAAGTTTTGAAATACAATAACTACCAGCTTGTGTGAGTATAATTAAGTTTCATCATCTTTTATTCTTACTGTTATTGTAACACGCTTTTAGTTAAACTCTTGAAAAAGCGACATATTCCCATGAAGGTTTCAAATACTCATAAAGAGAATCATTGCAATTTTCACTTCACTTCTCGAAATCATCGGGGTTTCCATAAACCTTCCTTTGATTAAACACATAAAACGTTTACTAAACCGTATCACCCTTAAATAAATATACATTTCTTAAATGTTCCAATCCAAATTATGTTCATAGGTTTTTTAATATACTTACATAATATGCTATTGTATATAAATTATCTCTCCCATTACCGCATTATTTATGAACGCCGTACCTAATAAAGATCGAAAATATTATTGAATTTAAAGAAAATGAAATGGAAGAGAAAGTTAACAGTAACTTAGTTCAATTCTAAGTAAACAATCATCATCATTAGCCTATTAATATCCTCACTGCTATGGCTAAGGCCTTCCCTGTGGATGGAACAGGGAGATTGGGCCATGACCCACCATGCGGGCCCAGTGCGGATTGGTAGGTGCTAACGACTGCAGATGCTTCCGGGACCAACGGCTTAACTCGTTAGTTCCGGCCTCCGTCCAGTCCCAGCTCGAGAAAAGAGGTTGTTGGTCATCTATACAATGACCAGCCAGTGCGATAGTTGCTTCATTTCTATGAATAGCAAGCCAAATTCGCTAAACACCTGCTCCAACAATCTCCTCATCGTGTATTTAATAAAAAGTATACTTCAGATGAAATAATTATTACTAAAAGAAAAGCAAACTTTAAAATAATATGAAAGAAACCTCACAAGTTCTCAATTAGCAAGTTTGATTTCAAAATACTGAGTTTAATAAAAGGCGTACATTATATTAATGTATGTTGTCAACATTAACAATAACTGATATCGTTATTTGTTTACCTATTTAGCAAGTTTATTTAATTATATTTGAAAATATACTGATTGTGTCTGCATAATATCTATACATATAATAAAATGATAGGAAAGTCAAAACTGTACATTGAATATTTTTTTTAAAGAATATTTGGGGTCTGATCTACAAACGATAACGAAGCCAAAAATATAGTTTTTAGAATTTTTGCCTGTTTGTCTGTATGCATGTCCGGGATAAACACAAAAAGTACTCCATGGATTTGTTTTAAATTTGGCGCGAATATTATTAAGAATTCGGGTCAAAATATAGGCTACATATTATCACGCTATCGCCTACAGGGAACGAGCAGTGAACCTTTATTGCTAACTAACTCCACGCGTACGAAGTTGCGGGCGGCCGCTAGTTATAAATAAAACGATAGTTTAATAAGCGAGCTTTATTTATTATATAAAAAGATATTCAGGTTATTCATCAAAATTATAGGCCAATCAACATGTAGTCAATAATGATAAAATAATAAATGTCAAAAGATAAAAACAATTGTGAGGTCACATGAAACCTCACAGTAAAACAGTCGTGGACAATAATTTTGATGAACAAGCAATGTGTTTAAAAAATTATAACATAAATAAATCGATTATAGCGACTAATGGATATAACGATTTATATTATAAGAATTCAAATATTACTCGATTCCTTGCTTCTTATATTTCAGGGTTAATTTACATGCAAGTTGTGTCGCAATTAAAGTAACTTTTGCGTAAATCCATCCTCATAACTCTCTGAAATATTGTTATGTTACAGAAGATAGACACAAATAGTAAAATGTAGAAAATCAAAATATTCAGGGACAAATAAGAGAGATTTAGTGAAATGTTTCAATTAACAAATAAAAACCTTAAAAAATAAAATAAATGTTTCCCTCAAAATTAAAAACAATTTCAGAACAATACAATGAATGTAAATCAACCTTAATAATATAAACTCGCTATTATTTATATTTCCCATCCAGCGGGAGAAAATATTACAGATTAAAAAATAATATAAATTTATCGATGTTTTTGAACGAAATATGGAATTAAATGCATTTGCTACAAGACTGGATTACTGTACAATTCTATTATAATGCTGTTACATAATATTTTGTATACAAGTAAACGGCTAACTATTATAAAGATTACAGATGGTATTTGGCAGCGCGCAGTATGGGATACTTGTCGCCAGTGCACAACCCACGGAAGTCATCCATGGACAGGTCGACGATGGAAATGCCGCCAAGGCTCTTGGATCTGTAACAAGAAAGGTTTTAATCAATACGATAACAGTACACATAGAAAATGTGCGAATGAAAGATAACATTACACATGGCTATTTGTATTTATTTTGCAATTTGTAATTTTTACAGCAGTATATTATGCTCTATTGTTATGGGACGAAAAGGAAAGACTGATACATGGAGGTTAGAGAGAAATAGAACGAGCGCTACGTGCTAAATCATTAGCCCGCCTGAAAATTTGTAGATGTATAGTTCATTTTTCAGCTACCAGCCGCGATGCTGTCGGTATGTAATATCTGTGAAGTTAGCCGTTTATGATTACAAGTAGACGAAGTAAGTTAAATAAATGTACAAATTTTCCTCACGGCATTGCATTGTAGTACAGTCAATCTGTCGAAAAAAAAATCGTTTCAGTGAAAAAAAAAGTCTTGTTTTTTCTGTTGCCAAATGACGTCAGTAAGCCACCTTGGCGATGGGCATATTCAACTCGTAGGCGTTTTTTGAAAAACTCAAAAAAACCCTCAAATAATTTTTGAAACGCATTTTTCTTGTTTTGTATGTAATACAAAAAAATTGTTTATACAAAAGTTGTTGGTAATTATGTACGGAACAACTTTTCCATTTAAAGTTTTCCAGGTGGCGCACCTACAATGCGCATTTTTTATTGTACGAGATTGTAATGACATAAATTGTAGTACTCAACGCCCTCTACAATTATGGTCGAAAAAAAAGTTTCAAAAATGCATACAAAACAAGAAAAATGCGTTTCAAAAATTATTTGAGGGTTTTTTTGAGTTTTTCAAAAAACGCCTACGAGTTGAACATGCCCATCGAAAAGGTGGCTTACTGAAGTCATTTGGCAACAGAAAAAACAAGACTTACCCTTCAGGTTTTTTTTTCACCACTCAACCTACAGATAGACTATACTATTGGTCATTTTAAATTAGCGTACAACAGCCCGCTTTTATTGAGACAACTTAGCAATTGCAGCGCCTCACTTATTTTGTCCATATTTATGGGACACTATTTTCTACAGCGATCGTTCTCCTTCTCTCTAACCTCCATAGACTGATAGATGATGACTAACTTTTTTTCTTTGTCTATCAGACGTATTTTATTACTTTTTTTTTACTACCAAACTTTGACGACCTTTATCATTGTATTTTTTTTGTTGATTGATTTATTTTTGGATAATTTAACTGATGGACGAAATAGAATTTCATTTACTGGGTGAGTCAGCATAGCTCAGAGACTGCAGCAATTACAAAATTCGATTCAATTCCAAAGGGCTCCAACACATTTTTAGTTTTTAAATTATAATTTCATTGACATGTCTTTTTCTTTAATTTTTTTTTTAAGATCTTGCTTCGTGATCCGTTACTGATTTTTGGTATTATCTCAAGTAAATTTAATTATGTAACAAGGTAACCAAAAAATACACATGTAACAGTAAAATAAACTACTACGTTGAAGTACATTATTTAGGATCAAAGCAATAAAGTTGTGTCATTTTAATTTTTTTTTATAATAAATTAATTCCTCCATATAAACTAATAAAAAATAGTTACGTATAAGAAAAAATATTTCTTTCATCGAATAATAAATTATTTGTACTAACCATCATACGTAAACGTGGTTTCGTAAATAGAAGAATAATTCTTCCATTGAAACTAGTAACGTACAAGGAAGAATAGTTCCTTCATAGAAACCGAAACGAAACTAAGGTTTCGTTGACGGCCGAAGAAAATATTTCAACTTACTTCGCGAATTCAGCTTTCTGTGCAGCAGTGTCGGGGTCCTCGTAGCTCACCCAAATACCACCCTCTCCATTGTCATCGGGAAGACGGAATGCGTATGTGCCTATAAAAACATCACAACTGTAAAAATAGTGTAAACGAATCGCACCCTTGCAATGAAAGTGGCCAACTCAATTTTTTCTATAAATTGACCATAAAAGCATAATCTACAACCTCGTGAAGAAAAAGAGCTCAGCCAAATTTTTCTACTTAGGTCACTTTTATTCTGAGGGTGCGAAATATCGTATTCAAAAAGTTGAACATTCGAAGCATTCGGTGCAATTTTATTGGCGATTCAATAAAACAAAACAATGCTTTGTTAGGTATAAAAAAAAGTTCACGCCACCTCTGTGTATATATATTACTAATTGACATATATTAAGATTTTTAGAATAATAATATAAAAGTACCAGCACCTATTTCATCAATGACAGCATTAACCATAACCTTATAATACGTATAGTAAAATTATAAAGAAAAAAAATACTAATATTATAAAGATTGCAAAACTAAAGGATAAGCAAATTGTGTCTCTTGAATAATGATTCAACATAAAAATTATTTTCATCTAGCTGTTAATTGCTTTTACTATTGCTAACAAAATAGCTGTTTATGATACAAGTGCGAAAAGAAGGTTATTACGTATAAATACGTATAGTAATACGCATTCTAAATAACCTCTTACTCTCACGTGTCGTATAATACTTTTCAATGTATTTTGCAAGGAATTAAAATAAAAATATTACCCATTTTTTAAATTACCCATAATAAACTCATATCTGTCGTGTAATTTAATAATGGAACTTGAAATCTTTTACACCGAAATATGGGAACCAAGAAGGCAACATATCAAATGTTTAAATAAAATTTCGAACGGGCCTGCAAATACGAAGCTGTTTATTGATAAAGAAAAAGAAATGAACGCAATGCTGCGTGGCGCAATAGGGCGTAGCGCAAGGCTTAAAAATTTACTTTTTCGCACACCTGCATAAAAGAGTCACTTTCCACATAATGTGTATACATAGAAGAGAAAACTTTCCGAGCAAATACATTGAAAAAAAAATATTTTATTTATAAGGTAAATAAAATTCACCAGACCGATCAAGTGAAATAGAAAGGTTATAATATCATAATGATAATTGATACAGGCGCTTCATATATTTTTTAAACAAGCGCGAAGACACTTGATATTTGTTATGAAAGTAAATAATATGTGACTTTATGATTATGGGAAATGCATCATTAGGGGAGTAGTTATCATTTAGTTAAGTAATTAATGAAGACTATTGAAGACAGACACAAGCCAAGCCTACTAGAAGTGAGTACCAACCAAACATATGAGATAAGTCTTCCTCCTTGGTTAAGCCCACGTCTGAAAATTTAAATTAAGCTGCTAATTTCAAAGCGTATGTTTGCCAATTCACCATTGATAAAGCACTATTACTATTATGTACAGAACTTACATTGAATCAAAAAGGGTTATAGCCTACAACAGTTTCCAGAGACTATCCTTTCAATTTTGATTTTTAACTTCTTAAGATTTTAAATGTATGAGAGAAAGTGTATATGCATTTAATTGACTACCAACGTAAGATGAAGTTAATGGAGATAAATAATGTAATACATAAAGATAACGTGTGATAGGCAAGTATCAATATAATTTCACATTCTAATGGTAGTATCGTTTGAACTAAGAAAAAGAATCAAATCAAAGACTAAAATTATGGACCTATATTTCTTGTGATCACTGTGGTAACAGTGTTTTCTTTCTAATGATTTTTTTTCTTAGTTTTCAAATACCGAACACAGAAATAGGTATAATATACCCCTTTATGTGTTCTGTGGTTTCAGACGTATTATTTTAATGTAGAGAAAAATTATACAGAAGGGAATGATTTTAAGAATCAATTATATATCGATACAAAGTGAGCGTTATTCCACAAACGAAAACACACATTTCGCAGTTTTGGATAGCCTGGTACGCTTTGTCTGTAGTCTGTAGTTACAAAATAGCTTCAGTCTACTTTATAAGTTATTTTTAGCTCTTAAACCTCAAACAAACTTAAAATAATCATAAGAATATTTAACAAATCAATATTAGTTGATATAATGAGATATGGTGTCGATTTTGACATGATTCTCTAAACCTTTTAGGTTATATAGGTTTTAGGTTATATAGTGATGTTAAATTTAGTTTTAAGCTTACAGAATCGTGCCAGAATTGACACCATCACAAGTTTTAACGCTAACAAACGTACTTGGTGACACTTTACAACAGTGTCGTTTTTGCAGAAAGTTCAAACAAAAACTTTTTGTAGCATTCCCCAAAACTTTTATTTATATTTATCATTTTATTTTATTTCACATTATATGAAATCTGTTTGGCTGTTTGAGGTAAAGTTTCTATAGTATTATATATTAATATTATGTTGTACGTACCGAAACGTTTGCTGGGGTCAGTGACCTTCCTCAGATGAGGGCGCATACCCTTTTGATGATTGGGGTTGATAAGCTTAGCGCACACTTCTGGGTAGCTAAGCACACCTTCAGTCTTGGTGTAAGGACCTATATTAAAGATAAGGATAACGTTTGTACTATGAAATTTTGTCATAGTTATAATTATAATGATAACTTTAAAGAAAAGTTTACTAGAAAAAAATCCACGCGGACCAGGCAGCGGACGGGACTCGAACCCGCATCCTTCGCTATCCGGGCGAATGCACTGACCATTATGCTACCACGGCCCTATTAGCCGCGTTGAAATTTTCCTAGCCTTAAGCTGCAAGGCAGCGCCATCTCTTCGCATTGTAGGTAACCCACAATGTCAAATGAATACTTTTTTCTAGTAAACTTTTCTTTAGATTTAAACATCTAGCAGTTAAATGCTTAAAAAATAAATAAAATCATAATGATAACTTTATGTAAGTTAGTAATTTATAATTTTCATTATATATTCTTTTCTGAATACATAGTAAAATTTATCCAGAAAACTAGGCTAATAAAATAGGAAAATATACATAAAAATATTTTGTTACAAAATCAATCATCTTCAGAAGGACGAAAAAAAATTCTATTGGCAAATTTGTGTTCGCAGTATTTTTTTATGTACAATCTATCAAACTGATTACAACTTTGGAAAGGAACACGAGATAAAATAGGTAGCCAACCTGAATAAAAAATATTTTAATAAAAAAAAATCTTTAATTTTAGCCACAAAAGTGGTTCAGTCATTTCTGTTTCAATAACCAATTCAGAAAGAGATAGGCTTATCAAAGCTTTAGTTGCCTAGATAGTTTTGTTGAACGACCGTCGCTAAGAAACGTAACCATGATAAGGTTATCTTTTACTGGAGATACATTTGTGAAAATAGTTTACTATTAGCCCTGGAATATGAGTATATTATCATGCTCGTTTAATCACATAGAAGTCATTGGTTACACTTATTCGGAAAAAGCAAAGACTTAAAAAAATATGAAAATGACTCAAATTTGATTTTGCCTTTGCCTTTTGAAGTCTAGAACTGAGGATGCCGAATCTGGCGGCATACTCATTCAGTTCGTTTAGCATCTGAAATCCATGTTCCTTTATTAAGTCAGATGAAGTGATTTTGGCGTCATTGTAATTTACCTTGGAATAAGAAAAAAACTTGTCTAAATTGTTTGCAATTCAAAAGCTCCTTTGTTTCACAGCAAATCACAATGCCGTGATATTGCAGCAACGTTGTCAAATTTTATATTTAAAATAGGAAATTCGCTACAGACCTGCTTCTCCGGGTCCGTCGGTGTGGATCGGGGGAACTCCCGAGATTTCGCTGTCGCCGTCCAACTTCCATGTTCGCGCGAATGTCGCGATGCCCAACACCAGTTTGGTTGTGGGTGCTCCGTGTTGTTTCCTTTAGAAGGCATCGATTGTTTTAAGATATATTAACAGTCAAATTAAGAACCATTTTCTGTATTAAATTGATAAATCCATTGTTTTCTTCTAAATGAGACGTGTTTACTGTCTAGTCTAGCTAAGAGTCACAAAATATGTTACGCTGCTCTATGTACAGTGAATCGCGTTATTTGTAAGTACTATATACTTATTCTTTAAAAGATTGAATACACGAACTTTCATGTCAGAATTTCTCAAACTTCTATTTTCAGCCAGTATTTTTTATAGACTTAATAATAAAAAAATAAGTTTCAAACTTTAAGGTAAATGTTGTGAAAACTTGCTGTTTGCTTGAAACGGGAAATCTAAAATTATAACCTATCTGAAATTTTAAAGTTAGTGTTTTCGGCTATGATGTGTGAAGGTCGTTGTTTTTGGTCGTCACAGATTTTCATGAAACGTGCATTGTGTGTCAAAATAGTTCCTCTATTCGCTAGCACATAGACTAGACAAAGCCTACAGCAGAGGCTAAAGGGCCTTTGTATAGTGCGTAGTTGGATTGCATGGTTGATTGGTTGTCTAATGGATCTGGTTTCAATTTTCAGGTGCATATCAAAGACTATTTCATTACTTCGCCATGGTAAAGCACGATTGCTATTTTATTGAATCACAGATTAAGTATGTAGGTATTGATTAGTAGCAAAATTTGGGAGCCTTATTGACACGTAAAATGTTCTAATAACTAGGAGAATGTCCATTCTTTCCAACATATTCTATTCTTTCCAACACTCACACCAATTAGCCTAACCCCAAAGTAAGCACTGTAAGGCTTGTGTTATGGGATACTAGGGTAACGGATAGAATACATCCACGACTGGAGTACAAATGCTCGTATTCATCACACAAGCATCTGCCCCCAACGGGATTCGAACCCAGGACTCTCGAGTCGGCGACACCATGAAACCCGGCGTACAGACCACTCGGCCACACAAACAAACACACAAGTGATTTGCGATAACATTATTGCAGGCAATGTCAGATATTACATTGTGCATTTGACCGAAATGTGACATCAAAAGCTGCCGATCCATGTAAAACAACTCCCTAACCGGAATCACTATGTATTTTAACGAATCTGTACGCAACATTGGCCATTTTCAACATTTTAGCACCCTCAAACTCTCCCGAAATGATTTTACGCCTTATGTCAGACAATTAAGGACTTTGGGGACCTAATGCGCATGATTCCGGCCGCAAATTCGACGTTCTCGTTCATACATAACCGCACAAACACTCACCAATAGGCGATTTCGGCGTCGGCGTTTTGCAAGGGGTTGCGGTTCTGTGGCGTATACAGTGGGCTAGTGTAATCAGCCTCCTTGGGGTTGCGCTCAGGCGTGAAGTAGTCATACGCGTTAATGTTTACGAAGTCCACCAAATTGATGATCGATGGCACGTCGAAATAAACTGCAAAACAGATATCAAAAATCCCCTGTTCAACATTGTCAACTTGGACAGTTTTATATTAAAAATTTGTATATGTTCGTTTTTCCTCTTTGCTTTTAACGACAAAGTCTTTGTCTGAAACTCAACAATAAAAATATTATTATGCCAACTTGATAAATACAAATTTATCAAGTTGGCATAATAATATTAATACGAACTGCATTTAGATTTAATCTGACCACAGGACAAAGCAGCCTCTAGACTTTTTTGTTATGCGAGCTCGGCTTTGTCGCAGAACTTACAAAAAAAAAGATTGCTGATTTGAATTGCAAATCACGAACCCGTAGCAAAATAACTATTTAAATACATGTAAGCTGTCTAACATAATTTTAATAATTTAATTTAGTTAACGAATAACATACTTAAATCCTGACATAGTCAACTATTCTAGGGATAACTCTTAACTAGTTACAACACAACAGAAAAATCACTGACACGTAAGGGTTTCAAAGTTAAATCTGCTTCCAGGATACAATAATGCGATATATGGCAATGAAACTATTTTTAATGAAAGAGAGAGAGAGTTCACGAAATACATGTATAAAATTAATCCATTAATAGAGACTGCTAAAACAATTATTATTATATCCAAAAGGCACCTTAACGTGGAGTTCAAATTGAGTATATTACTAACCTTATTAAAAAACCATAATGGAAAACTAGGTGAAATACATCGACTCCACAGACAATCATCAGAACTCCGATGAAGTCACCAATGTGAAAGTATTGAGGAGTAGTCCTACACTTCTACAGCTAAAGCAGGCACCAAACGGGCCTCAATTGTATTTTCTTGCTGAAATACTGTATCTACCTCAAAAGTGCAGAAATTCTCTAGGAAATGTGCTGCTGTCGCCCGATATGCCCTACAAATATATTAACTTACGAGGCCTTATTATAAGGGATATTGATCATTTTGATTACCGGAAGAATTAACGTTGGGAAGCACAGTGACGGACAGCTGCTTGTTCGGCTTGACGCTGAGGGCTTGCTTCAGCTCGCGGACCAGTGCGGTGAATCCCTCCCTGTGCTCTGCCTCCTTATCGTCGACCGGTGTAGTGCCGAAAGTCTTCTTGATACCGTGCCAGAGGGACCCTAGAATATACATGAAAGGAAGAAGTTGAATAACAACATTTTCAAGGTTTTCTTTAGCTCGCCACTTAAAACTGTCTTGGCTGATACATTACTATCGTATTCATCAGTCGTTGCAGTCATCACATATAGCTCTTGATGTTTGTCACCCGGCCTCTATATTGAGATGATCACCAAATTAACCTTTGAAGGTTTTTCGGTACAAAAAGGACCCCGCTGATCTCACTTCTACTTTTAAAATGACCTTGTAACATATGCACAGATATACTTTATTGTTAAGAAATACATACCCCAAGTGGAACGAATCTTCTTAGGCTTAACTCTGGGTAATTGCCATGCCAAGTCGATGCCATCAAAGCCATGTTGATCCGCGAGCAAGACGCCAGAGTTCACGAAGGCAGTACGAGCTTGCGGCGACTCCAGCTATAAGACAGCAAATGTTGGAACGTGTATAAACTTTAAGTCAAGTAATTAAGTATCACAATGACTAAACGGGTCAACAAAAATATCTGAGCTCCTGCCTGCTTCAGAAGGCACATTAAAACAGTAATCTCGGCTGTATCTCCAGCCGTTAGCACGGTCCGCGTGATTAGTTAAATCGAGAAGGCCTGAGCTGAGGATGAGCTGGGCTGACATGACATGATGATGACATTTTCTGAATAATCATTTCGCTACCAGTCGTTCTCCTTTAGAGACTTCTCTTCTATATCTGCAGACTCAAAATCATCTACTCACCAGAATCTCAAAGGCGTGAGCTTATACAGGGTGTAAAATATCCTATGACAAAGACTCAAACTACGCATTCTGTAAAACCAAACAAGTAATATTACAAAATATTATACGTGGGAATTTTTTTTATTTTTTAAATACCTAAAAAGTAAAGTGGTTACTAAACTCTATTGATATAATTATGTATATTTTAAATACTTTATACTTTTGAACGTCACCTTTTGACATTATTCTTTGAAAGACTATTATTGTCTTTTCACTACTACAGCTTACGAACATTGTGTATATTGTGAACAAGTATTATATTCAATTTACTGCTACGTGTCGTTTTCCTTCATTATTCCCATTTAACTTAGTACAGTCCACCGCTACACAACAACCATATAATATATTCTTTTCCCACGGTCCACGTGGTTTTTTTTTTCTAGTAAACGTTTCTTTAGATTTAAACATCTAGCAGTATTTAACTGCTTAAAAAAGAAAAAAAATGGTTGCCTGTAAAGTCGGTTTTACGGGCGAAGATTTTACGTGACAACGTCTTTTTCTCGGTAGAATATTTATTGATATGAATATAATTAAATTGCACAATAGGAACAAGGAATTGAATGAAAATAAGAATTGCACAAATTTTAACTATAGAAATATATTTTGTTTACTAAAACATTGTACATGTAAACTTAAACTTAACACGAGAGACTCATCGTAACGTTACCGAGCGTTACACTTTTTCATAAGTGACTCCCAGCCGCAACCTAATTTAAGACGTTGTCACGTCAAAAACATATCTGTATTTTTTAAGTAAAAAAAATGGTTGCCTGTAAAGTCGGTTTTACGGGCGAAGATTTTACGTGACAACGTCTTTTTCTCGGTAGAATATTTATTGATATGAATATAATTAAATTGCACAATAGGAACAAGGAATTGAATGAAAATAAGAATTGCACAAATTTTAACTATAGAAATATATTTTGTTTACTAAAACATTGTACATGTAAACTTAAACTTAACACAAGAGACTCATCGTAACGTTACCGAGCGTTACACTTTTTCATAAGTGACTCCCAGCCGCAACCTAATTTAAAACGTTGTCACGTCAAAAAATCATGTTTTTTCCAGTACGCAATGTATTGCGCGGCGCGCTACTGTGGCGCTATGCAAAGAATGTACCTGTGTGTATGTGTGAGCCTGTGAGTAAGTGCGTCGATCAAAAAGTTTCTAAATAACGTTATGAAATCACATGTAAAAATCTTGAAAAAAAACATTGTGAATGACCTTCAATAACATGGAGATATTAGATCACCAGAAATTTCCCAGGTATGATCCAGAAGATAAAAATGATCGTCATGATGCGGAAATTACGAAGCCTTCGACTTCGTTAATTGCTTTTTACGCCCTGTATTTACAATAGTTGAAAAAGAGCATCTTTCGCAATGACTTGTCATTGGATGTGTGACCATTTTATTTTCTGGAGCTCCTCCGTACTTCGGAAGGTACGTTAAACTGTTGATCCCAGCTGTGTCTGCCGTCATAAGCACCCACCTATCGGCACAAGGCTCTTGGGATAGGTGGCCTGGCCCAATCATCGTTTTCTCCATAGGGAAAGCCTGTGCCCCAGCAGAATGGACATTAAAAGGCTGTCGACTGATTATGAACACTCACCAGAAGGTTGTATTTCTGCTGGTCTTCGGTGTCGGCATCGCCTCCAATGGACAGAAGGACTTTCATTGCAGGAAACTTGGACTTGAAGTTGGTGATCGCTCGGTAGTTGGCATGCGACCGGTCTACGTCCAGGTTCTCATTCAGGGGTATCATCTTGAAGGTATCAGGTTGAATGCCGGCATAGCCGTACACCAGGTGCGTGCAGAATGACAGGGCCGGGTCCAGGTCCAGCGGTAGCATGCGGGCTTGAGCTGGATAAATGCATCCCTCGACTAAATTACATAAGTCAATTAACCAGCGTTTACGTTAAAATGATTATTAGAACTAGAACTTCATACAATCGTTAGTGAGATCAGAGAATTGATTCGCCATTACGAGGAATCGGCAAATATATAAAAATCTACTTACAATCTATATACATATTCTTAATGAGATGAGGATAGTAATGGATTTCCATAAAAACTTTAATACGTTTGTCACCGCGTAAGCGTGCGCGTATAGAAAAACAAAGTAAACTTCTGTGGTTTCACCTATGCTATCATACTATAAGTTGATCAAATTACCGGTTTAGGCATGTAAATGTAACAAACAGACAGACAGATACTTTCACACATACAGATTTTATGCAGTACCTACTAACCAACCAAAAACATAAAAAATATTTACGTGACTTAGCTCTGTTAAGCTTATCTGGTACAAAGGAATGATAATATTTGGGAACGGCTGTGACGGAGAACAAAGAGACTGGCAGCAGAACAGCTAAAACCCACATAATGAAGATATATATAATAATATATAACCGCGGGTATATACTACAAAGCAGTCAACAATACTTCTACACGTAGAGCTTTATATGTTCAGCAAAAACAAGAAACTTCATAGATAATAATAGGCATTTGATATCTTCTAAACAAAAAACTCAATCGAGGATACATAGGTATCTTGTTAGATAAAGTTCCTATAACTAGGCCAGTCCCCGTAGCATGAGCACCACAATTCACATTATCACGTTTTTATCGCGTCTAACTGTCAACTCTGTGGTAATTTGACAATTGATTGTGATAAAAACGCGTTACATATCATATCGCGGTGCTCATACTAGGGAGTATTGGATCAGAGCCACTATCGATAAAGGTTGTAAGCAAATATAGCCCTAAACGATCCACAAAGCCGTCCCAAATGAAAATTCGTCCTATTTTTTGTGTTATATAAAACTTTTACCCTTTTTTACTCAAATACCATACCAAGTGTTTATGTCTACATTACCATAGACTAACATTACTTTATTAGTGCTGATTTAGGTGTTCTTATTTGTATTTCTTAATTATTTGTTTCTCCCAATACACTAACTAACAAACATCATAAGTTGTCATCTTATTAGAGAAAATCAATTGTCTAAGTCAGACTAGTAGCAACAAGCTGGCGTGCCGAGACAAAAGATGCCGTAATCAGACCAAGCAAGTCATAAATAAACAATAAATTGAAACAAGCAAAATTATGAATAACAATAACCGTAACAACTATTTTTATCTCTGTTTACCTTTTCTTAAGAAGCTAAATTACAAACTCGTTTGAAGAAAAAAAGGCAATGCCTTTCTAACCTAGGTTCTTAGAAGTGAGTCAAACATTGCTCATTGCCGTGTAAATTTAATTCGTACCACTCACTGCAGTCTTCGTTGTGGTTAGTAAGTATGGTGATGTCATTCCACACAGTAGGCTACACTTATCCAATTGTAGGTATCGGTTGAACTGTATAGATCATAATAAACTACAATGAATTGGGGCGCATTATCTTCGATTGGAGGTTAAATTAGTCAATCGTGTTTGCGGCATCATGTGGTCATTGGAATCATGTAGAACCTTAGCGAAACACTGTAAGGATTTAGATTTCTATAGAAAAAATCTACTCTGTCGCTTTATCGGTTTCATTGTTTCCAGCAAAATAAACTTTAGGTTGGACGCATATGTAGGCAGATTACCTGATTCGGTTTCCTAATTAGAAATTCAGATTCGGAATTCCGTGAGCCTAGTAGTTTTTTTTTTTATTAAATAATTTCCGAACCGAACGTAGGTTTTATTCCATTCTGAAAACTTTAATTAAATATGTAAGGACGTGCATTCAGGTCTCTGAATCGGAATTCCTGCTTAGGAAACCGTACATTTATTATGCGCCCAGCCTCAGATATACTAATGGCAGAAAAAACGCTTAAAATATGATAAAATGTAACTACTATGCAGCCTTAAGATTTTGATAGCATAAAAATGTAGAGGACTTTTTTGCTTTGATTATTTACTCCATTTACGCCTTGACGAATTGCGCCATAGCGTAATCAATTTGTCACCGGTATTGTATTATTGATTTATGTGTTGTTTTTTTTTTGTAATCACGTGTAATCTGTAATCCATTCTTTCAGTTTTCAGAATCGGTACTGCGAAATGTAGTTCCTAGTATTCTAGTGTTTGTCTTATAAATAAAACCTTCTTCAAGTTTCCTGTCTCAATGAATAACAACAATGCATCACCAAAGTTAAACAATCTTAAAACAAGATGTAGGCGTAATCGTCATACTGTACTATATTACTCAGACCATTGTTTTCCTTGCATTAACCACTCAGAATAATGAAACAATGAGTTGTGACCATTTATATTATAAAAAAATGCTATGAAGGACGGACTGGCGAGTTACAGTTCCGTACGTGAAGGCTCCAAACGGAGCCCCTAAAACCAAAAAATGATGCACAGATGCCACACCAGGAAAGACCTTTAGTTCTGTGGAAATTGAACGTCAGCCTTTTTCAATACTCTATTTTAACCTCAGATCATGAGAGGAGTGGAGAGGAGATCATTCCATAATTGTAATGTCCGTAGAATAAAAGATCTCTGGAAACGAACAGTTGTGGACTTCAGTGTTTCCAGGTAATATGAAAAATTCATATGCACATTCCAGCATGTTGGCTTAAGCCTGGAGGCCAAATGGAGGTCAGAATGAACAAAACCTATTTCTTTTTAATACCAAACAAAACTGAGGTTGCCAGCCAAGCCAATGGATCAAAACAAGATAATATATTTGATTTAAACTTTTCGCGTCATTAATAAAGTCCAAGTTAAAGGTTAATTTTACACGTAAAAGAGAATAATATTTCACAATTTATCATATTCGGTTATTTTATATGTTTACTTGGCGATGATCTCACTTGATATGACCCTAAGATTAAAACTGCCTTGAAACCGTTTACGAAGCATATTTCAAGTAACACTTTCCTTATTGGTTCGTCGTACAATGTACGTAATCACATGGAGTTGGTTTAGTTTTGATAATAAATAGGCTTTAAGTAGCCTACTTTTAAAATCAAGCCTAGTATTATTCTAATGAAAAATACGATAGCAATTTTATTTTGCAAGGTTTTTAATACAATTTTTGGTAATATCAACAGTTCTTCCTTTTCCTGGCATCACTGAATGCATAGTAATTTACAACAATAAATGGGCGACCTCGGAAAATATTTTGTATGCAAAGAGTAATTCGATGACGCGAACAGAGCCTCTGTGATTACTCAGAATAAATAAAAGTGTATTAAATTATAGAGCGGTTATAATTTAGTTTTATTATTTATAAAAAAAAGAATAAGAAGGTAAATTAGTGTTGCTGGGTGTCCCGATTTGCGCGGGACGTCCCGATTTTCAGGGGTCTGGGGACAAGTCCCGATTTGTACCTGATCGGGACGCTAAATGTCCCGATTAATCAAGAAATTAATTTTAGGTAATTAATAAAATGCTATACTTGCACTAGTAAAACGCAATACATTAAACTCTTAAATACCCCTTGTTTACTGTCCCAATCTGAAACCCTAAATCCCGTTTGTTTTGACCTCATGTACCCATTTAAAACCTGGCAACATTAAGGTAAATAAACATTTTTGCATAGAGTTATTGATATTAATTTGTTTAATCAGGTGAGAATTGAGCTCGGAATCTGAACTTTTTGCGAGTTGCTGCGATAGTCAAAAGACATATCATTGGAGAACCCTAAAAAAGCCAGCTAGTTAAAAAATCGGTCAACTGCCATTCGCAGTCGCATATGAAGGAAGTAGGTACTTGGGCAGCATACAATGTCTAAAGTCGCCGATAAAACTCAGATAAAAAACACGTTCCTTGTAAACACTTAGTATCGCCGCACACGGGCCACCGACCACAACCACAAAACGCCGCCACCGGCATATTTCTTGTAGTTTTCATACATTTTATATGGACTCTCCACACACGGTTCGCCGGTGGCCGCCACACGCTACAAGTCGTCGTTGCTCGCTTCTTGTGGCACGCACCGGCCACTTAATGCGCCGATACAAAACGCCGCCACACGTCACTCGCGCGATTCCCCACCCCTCTCTCCCTTACCTAAGTCGGCCGCTGTCGCGCGCTTCAGCCACTTTAGTAGCCGCTTCTAGCTTCTCGTGGCGGCGTTTGTGGAAGTGGCGTGTGGCCCGTGTGCGACGACACTATGCTGAGGAGCTCGATGGCGCAATTGGTTAGCGTGTTCGGCTGCGATCGTTTAATTTAAGCAACTTTCGCAGTGGTCGGTCATTGGAAGGGTGACTAAAAATTTGCTATCTCGAGCTCCTCCGTGCTTCGGAAGGCACGTTAAGCCGTTGGTTGGGCTGCATCTGGTGGGTTATGGCCCAATCTCCCTATTCCATCCATAGGGAAGGCCTGTGCCACAGCAGTGGAGACATTAATAGGCTGATGATGATGATGATGAAGGGCTATAATATGCTTCTTTCTACCCTTCCCTTTTAAAAAGAAAAATCCATCTTACAGAAATATGACTTTGCTCTACGTTTTGCTGGTGTTGTATTTAAGTCGGCGATTAAGTTTCCGGGCTTCAGTGGGCATGGGTTTACTATTGATTTACAAAATTTTCTATCTCATCGACTATCTTCACTAGTCGATTCCACTTACGCTTAACATCAGAATGGATGGGCAATTTTGCTACTTCTTAAAAAATTAGGCTACCTCTTTTAACTGTCACTATAACCTTTCTTTTTGTACACGGAGGTAAGGCGACAACGTGTTAAAGTTACTCATTGCATGCATCTATAAGCCTTCTCCACATTTGACACCACTTAGTAGCACTTAGCATTTTAGGCCCTTCTTAGGGCCAAGGAGGGACGGAGAGAACTACGCTCTCCCTCCCACTCCTGTGAGAGCTGCGGGTCTGCCCTGGGGGGGACCGGCCCGCATTTCACGAGCTCTCTTGATGCTGGTGCCCCTGATACTCCGTGGCACCTTCATCGGGGTGGGTCCGTTCGCGGACCTCATCACCTCACCTTGCAGGTGCGCGGACAGTCGGCAACGGTTGCCGCGATCAAACCCGCACTCCCGGCGTGCATTGGGGGGACTGCGGTCCTCAGAATGTACGCCGGGTGACCGGTGCAGGAATATTTGTCTGGTTTTTAGTGGCCCTGTTCAGGGCGTTAGGTAGGGCCCTGCTCATTTCACCCGGCCTAAGGGCTGGCTGAAATGAGCAGGGAGGAGTCCCACATACCTTCTTCTCGCTCCCCCGGTGGTTGAAGGATGCGTAAAGCATTTCCCAGACAAAAACAAAATAAAGCACTTAGCATTTGAACTAAATTTACGTAATTCCTAGGCCTCCTATATCAAGCGTTATTGATCTAACAAAGTGACCGGATTGGATATAGTGTCTAAAATAGGCCGTTGATATCATTCACGTGTGACGCCATCCTTTTATGTAGTCATATAAATATTTATTTAATACAGTTCTCAGAAAATCTACGTTAGGTAGGTATATTGTTTGTTCCATGTGTTATCTTATTATTGACATGACGATATAAGGTCCCCCCGGGTCAAAACACTACGGCTCGGGCCGATTGTAATAATTACCGTTTATCACGATTCGTGTAATAAACAATTTAACACAGGCAAGCAAATCAGAAAAATAAGACACTTTCCTAATAACAAGTGCGTAAGACGTTATTTTCTTATTTATAATAAACTAGCTGTGCCCCGCGGTGTTATCTGCGGTCTATTAGGGATATTTTCCCGCAGTAAAACGTAGCCTATGTGTTAATCCAGGGTGTCAGCTAACTCCAGAACAAATTTTCTTAAAATCGCTCCAGCCGTTTAGATGCGAAGAAGTAACAAACATACACATTCACAGACTTTCGCCTTTATAATTATTATATTTTAGCCTTTATGTGTGATTGTTCCGATTGTTAGTTTGTTTTGATATTATTTTGTAATCACATATGATTCCTTGTACCTGCTATATTCCTAGCTAGTAATTTTAAGTTTGAAAAAACTTCAGAGTAATAATTGAAAGTCGCACTCGATGCATGTCAATAATTTAAAGTTTATTCCTAAGTTTGTCCTATTTTTATTCCAAAATGCAGCACAGCACAGTATTAAATAAAACAAAAATATCAACGTATCTAAGCGCTGTACATAACAACGCTGACATTAGATACATACAGCTACAATCTACGTGCTTTATCCCTTTCGGGGCTGGCGGAGTATGAAATGTGCAATGTAATTAAAATAATGTAAATTCAATTCAAACATTTCGCCCACTACAATAACCAAGATTAGTCTTGAAAACAGCGTAGACCACCAGTCTATCGCGAATAGGTTCTGAAATTATTAAACCTATACGTTGATATTTTTTATTTTACTACCTGCTTGCAATAGTAGGTAGTAAGCGAGATTAACTAATCTATCCCTCTGAGTACTAAAAAAATATTTTGTTAATTTACGATTAAAGATTCTTTATCAAGATCACACTGATATTATAAAGGCGAAAGTTTGTGAGTGTGTACGTTTGTTACTTCTTCAGGTCTAAACGGTTGTAACGATTTTAATTAAATTTTGTATGGAGTTAGCTGACACCCTGGATTAACACAAAGGCTACGTTTAACTGCGCGAAAATATCCAAAAATAAACCGCGGGGCAAAAATAGTTTTAAATTAAGGCGGTTGGATTGGTAGCGAAAGCGTAGTGGTTTCTTGTGTGATAAATAGACACAAGTTTGTTTTTCATAGTATTTTTTTTCGCAGATACACTGTCGCCGTACTTTGTTTTTTTTTTTATCTCGGACTTGGCTTACCTGTTTGATAAAGACAAAGGAACAAAGCTTGTTACATCCGAATTTATTGACTGGATCAACCCTACCGGGACCTACCTCGAAACGATGAGACCATCAGCCAACCCATTTGAGAAAAACAACAGTTTCATGTAGTCACGTATTTTACATTTAAGTAAGTACATAAATCAAAGCTCTTTAAAAAACAAAGACAAGGAAAACGAAACACGTCGTATGACTACCTCCAAAAATTATTCTTTTTGTATGTATTATATTTAGGTATATAAAAACTAGTGCACCTTTCAAAAATACGCTTTAACATACCATTATTATATTATTTATTACCATTTTAATAAATACCTACCTACTACTTACTACTAGTTCTATTTCTACTATCTTCTCGGTTCTCAGCTTACATTAGTTATGCATCTACCTTCATATTTTTTAGAAGTTTAATTTTACGGTTCGACAGTTTTGTTACAAAAAATACCAAAAATGGCTTGGACCCATAATTAGACACTGTTGAAGAAACATTCATTCAAAACGTTAATTTGCGAAACCGTCGAAGTTAAACATAAACTAAGTAACAATAGGAAGAAAAATTCTAAAGAGTTAAAAGCCATCGGCCTTAAGAATCAAGTTTACTTATAATTATTTTAAAATTAGATGCAAAAAAGAACCGATTCCACGAGTGGACAAGGTCAAAGCTTGAGTCAAGATCATTGCGGGTCTCGTGGCTTCTACTGCGGCGAGGTAAAATGATAGATAGCGTCCTGATTAAAGCCAATATAAAACACAGATTAGCATAACTAATTTATTATTTACAATACCACCTATCATTAGCTCTAATTTCGATGAAACAAAATGTGAAAACTTTTCGGGTAGGCACATATTTTTATATCAGACCTTGCTTGTGTAAAGATTTTTTTCCTAAAGTTTACTAACAAATTATTGTATAATTTGTCGGTTTAAACAACTCCGATAACACGTTTGGTTATGAAACAATACATCGATAACAACTTAAACGCGCCGGTCAGAGAAATCGTTGCGCAAACAATTTGACACCAATATAATGCAAGTCAATGGCAGAAGAGAAAGAAATAAGAAGACAACTTTCCAATAAAAGGATTTTTAAAAGCTTCTTAGCAGGTAAGGTGATTAATACTCCTGCGTTGCATTTTTAACTATATAAGAAAAAGGTATATACCTACCCTCAAAAATAAAAAAATAATAATATTAAGAATTCCAAATCGTAATTATATTATCATAAATAAAGCGAATAAAAAGTGCATATTGATGGGAGAAATGTAGGTAGGTAAACGTACGTCAATACGTCGAACGCAACATGAAAATTTACATTAGTAAGTAAATTACGAAATCATTTTTTCAACTTATTGAAAATGATGAATCGCACAGCAAAAATAAAAATCCACTTACATTCTCTGACATAGCTCTTGCTGTCGTAGTAGCAGACGACTTTGCCGGTGGAGCCAGGAGTGTTGGCTAATGCCAAGGCCAACAGGCCGGCGAACGTTATGAGCAGCTGCATGGTGCTGGGAGATGTCTGATCACCACGGAGCGTGTGTGGCGAATGAGCTCTCTGGCCAAACCACTACCGATTTAGACTAACCTAACCAGCAGCGAACGGGTCAAAGAGTAAATAGCCACGTACAAACGATCTCAAATCCTTCTTACCTACGCCGATTAATCTACGAAGCCTTGCCTTCATGCTTGCTTAGTCACAATTACTTTTTAATTAAATAAAACAACTTACAACTTTATTGATGCACTGATTCATTAATTAATGACGAGTGGTGTGCGTGAAAACCTAACAAACAAATACTTTTTAATTGCTTCTGCGAACTTTCCATATAGATCGCCGTGGAAATTTTGGACGTTTTCTTCATTAGCTAGCTTTCCATCAGAAAATATATTTTTAAAATATACGTCTAAATCAAAATAACATTATTTGATGTATGAAACAAAAAAAAATACAAATTTATTAAACATTCGAAATTATATTATTTGCATTGTTAATCACTTAATTTTGTTTGTTCATTCGATGAAAAATTTCCAAAATTTTAGCATATTTCTGATAATAATGTTTTATGGCAATAAAAAAGGTCAACTGTTTAGGAATAAAAATATTGTATATTATCACCATTATATCAATAGACACAATACATGTAGCTATCAGTCTAACACGAACCATTATCGAATTCGAATAGTTTGCGAGTGAGTCAATGTCAATGCGTCACAAAGTACGTAACGAGAACCAAAAATCAGTACATACAAATTGACAATGACATTTCCTACTCGCATACTATTCGAATTCTATATTGGTTCGTACTAAGGGTACGAACGCCTCCACCGATATTCGAGGATAACTTTTGTATATGTCGTACGATGATTTAATAAATCGAATTTTCGCGAAAATCCTAGGGTTTTGCCAAAACGTGGATAATAATACAATGGCGATGACATTTCTCAATCGTACTGAGAAAGGACTTTTGCGAACCTTAGTAAGATTGCGGTAAGAATCGTTGGTTTATTTATTATAAATATTTTTGGATTTTTGGGTTCTTGGGTTACACTTGGTTAGGTTAGGTCAACAGTTACCTAACCTAACCAAGTGTAAAGCCAAGAAGTTGTCTAATTTTCTGTTTGTTTGTTACGCGGAATCTCCTCTCTCCGAATCTATTTAGGGCCAGCTTTCAAATTTTATTTTAAATCGCAAGACTATGCTCCTGATATAGTCCTATTTATATTTTCTCGAAATTGATTCTGAACTTTTTGAGAAAATAACAAAAACATATTTTAAATAGTGTTTACATTACAGATTTATATAAGGCAACAATGTGCTGGAACAAATTTATTTCGTCCTTTTACCGGAAGTATTTCAAATTAAGAGGAGCTCGATGGCGCTAGCGGTTAGCGCGTTCGGCTGCGGTCGTTGAAGTTGAGCAACTTTCGCAGTGGTCGGTCAATGGATGGGTGACCAAAAATTTAGTATCTCGAGCTCCTCCGTGCTTCGGAAGGCACGTCAAGCCGTTGGTCCCGGCTGCATCTGCAGTCGTTAGCACCCACCAACCTGCACTGGGCCCGCGTGGTGGGTCATGGCCCAATCTCCCTAATCCATCCATAGGGAAGGCCTGTGCCCAAGCAGTGGGGACATTAATAGGCTGATGATGATGATGATTTCAAATTAAGGGCCAATTTTCAAAATTTATTCTGTTATAGCAAGGATACTATACGTTATACACAAAAAAAATCATGATCTGATCAATGACTTGGAGATTTGGAACGGATCTCTTCGTAGGATCATAGCACGACGGTTTTAATAAGTATTAGTTCTTTGTTTATTGGCTGAATACCACTAATGAGGAAGCGGATTGGGGGGTATATTACGTCAAACCAAGGTATCGTTTAAATTTTCACAGATAATGAATTTCTGTTGCAGCTATAACAACAAATACTAAATATAGAATAAAATGCATATTTGTTTCTTGTTGTTGCATTCTGACGATGCAGACCTGAAAAGGCTGCGAAACGTCAATAAATAAATAAAGTTTCGTGCATTAACCCGTAAAAACTAGTTTTATAAAATGCATATTGAAAGGAGCTCCCATGCAACAAACGTATTTTTTGCCGTATTCTGCTCTATATTAAAAACGGTAACAGGTAGATGTTAGTAATATTCAACGAATATTTAGTTAAGTGGTCACTTAAAAAATAAATAATTAAATTAAAATAAAATAGGTATTTATTTCCTATACAGCAGATGTGATTTTGCCGTTTTTGCTCGATATTATAATATAGTGTCTAATGTTGTTCGTCCGTTCTTGCGTGAGTCCGACTCGCACTTGGCTAGTCTTTTTATGTTAAGGATTTAGTTGATGTTGCTCAGGCTTGGAAAAAGAGGAATATAAAAACTTTTTGGACAAGATTAAAAATCGACTTCATAGAAATAAAACCACTAAAAAGTTGCCATGCCAACCTAAGCAGTAAATGGCAACTCAGATCTATTTTTTACAATGGTAATTTGACTTTATGTAAATGCAGATTTAAGTATTGAATATGCATCATTTCTTTTGTTTTATGAAGTCGGTTTTTATATTTTGTTCGAAAGTTTTTTTATTCAAAATATTTACTTTTACTTTCGAAAATGTAACTTTAATGTCAAAAAAGTTTGTGCTCTACTTTCTGATGCTTAACAAAAAATAAACATTACTAATATGGAAAAATGCCCCCGGCCGGGTCGCACCCACATTGAAAATTTTGTTATTACACTACGCACCCATTGTATATTTTTTTTCAAGATACTTGAGTAAGGTACTGTGGTGAACATTATTGTTAAAAATAAACAGTAGAACACAGAACCTCCTCCTTTTTTGAAGTCGGTTAAAAAAGAGTAGTTGTAACTAGGGCACTTTAACGAATTAAATAACAAAAAGCATTCTTATAAATACGCATTGCAATAGCAATGCAATAGCCGGCCGGACTCGGAAAAAATCTCTTAGGAATGTAATATTTTCAGGTTACATATTGTTTCGTTTCTTTAGTCCAACATCACTTTGAAAAACCTGAACAGATTTGGATCTGGTACCAATCAAAGGTGCTGTACATCATTCCGAGGCGGATGAGTGAAAATAATAAATCAGTTTAAAATAACTTATACTTACAACAAATATTCTTCATTACATCCTCAGTTTCCATAATAAATATTTTGGATTGTGAATGGCTCGACACGCATTTAGCCGTTTTTACGGAATTCTTCAATAACTTTCGATAAACAAATAAAAAGTTGTGCGATAATCGTTTTACAAAGCGTCTGTAAAAATAATAGCTCATTCGTACTTATTTACTAAAACAAAACTGAAGTTTAAAATATTTTTATTCCTATTTCAAATAAGCAGTTTTAATACATTACGGCTACTTCATCAGACCCTGACTATCCTGGGCATTGTTTGAGACTGGCTGGCGCTCCGACAAGAATCAAAGGAGCCCAAACTCGATATGATTGCGTCGTTTGATCATAGAGTTCTCATAGCTAGCCTTCGGCTCCATCATCGAATCCTGAATTGATATCAACTAGAACTAGTTCTTTTATAGTTATAATTTTTATTATTTTAAAGCATGTAACTGCTTGATGTTTAAATCTAAAGAAAATATAACTAGAAAAAATTCCACGCGGACCAGGCAGCAGACGGGACTCGAACCCGCACCCTTAGTTTAGTTATTTTATATTTTAATATCTGAAAAATTCGTGACTGCAGCTCTCGCCCACGCGGCGCAGTGAACAGGGCTCTGAGGGCTCCTTCCTGTCATTTCATCCAGCTCGTATGGGCTCGATGAAATGACAGAGCCGTAGGCCTCTGTAAAAAGCAGACAATGCCTTGCATCGGTCAGCCGACACGCACTCTGAGGACCGAGGTCCCCCGAATGCGTGCTGAGTGTGCGGGTTTAGTTGTGGCACCCCAATAGGGCATATTATACTGTCGATAATATCATGATGTCGTGATATTATTGACAGTGTAATATGCCGTATCGCAGTATCACCGGTACAACTTGTGATACTGCGATCCATGATAGCACGATAATATTGAATAGTGTAAGATACCCCATTAGGACTGGCCACGTACCCGCCGGTGAAATAGGACCAGTATCCTTATAAAGACGATAGGTATTAACGTTTCCTGGAACAACACTAGTCTACATCTTGATGACATAATGTATGTTTCCAAGTCCGTCGTTTTCTTTGGATAACCTTATGAACTACCTACATTAATATAATTATCAACTAATTCCATGTAAATTTTATTGTTTTCGTTTAAGTATAGGTACATAAGTTTGACATAGTGTTGTTTGACCGAATCAAACTACCTACTTTTTAGTAGGTAATCTCTGTGGAATTGTCAGTGGATGATAACTTAAGCTAACTTAAATCTAAATAAATATTTATTCAGAGCATACTCCGTGCCTACTGCACTCCTTTGTTCAGTAGGTTAGATAGGTACCAACTAGAACGATGAATCTCGCTTACCAACCAACCATTTGGGCATTTAACTATTGTACTTGCGCCCTGCTGCTTGCCTGGAGGTGACAAATCACAAAATTTTGCCATAATAGGCAAATAATAGTCTTAATCCTTACGAAGGCGGTAAATATGACTCGGGCCCGGGCAAGAAAAATACATGCCTTTTTTGACACTAGGTTGAGGAAAAATAAACCTTGAAATAATCACGTTTTTCATATAGGGGGGTTTCCCCTGAATTTTATTATTTGTTGTTACTTACGTTACCCGCAAATGAAATACTTACGCAATCTGTAAAAAAAAACTACCTACTTTTACAGCTTTAACAGTCCGCTGACCGAAGATCGTACTGATTCAGATAGTAAGGGGTAGTAATATAGGGGTTTCATTGCCAGTTTTTAAGAACGAAATCCTATAAGTATGCCACGACCACACCCACTCTTCGACGCGGATGTTGAGCAGCTGGGGTCCCCGATCCTCGGAGTACCTACGTGTCAGCTGGTGTTCAGTGGAGAAGTTTTTTTGTGTGTAACTAGGGCCCTGCAATGCTATTCTGTAAGAAAAAACTCACTTTTCACCGCGAAATTTACCGATGTGATTTGAAACTGTGTTCAAATTTTTGAACATACCGCAGGTTCCGAGTTTTAAAGTAAGTTTATTCCTACAGAACAGCACTGCTGCTCATTTCAACTTGTGGGTATTTAAAAAAGAACGCTGCATACAATACAGGTCTCCTAGTTCAGGTGTTAATGTATTTTATGCAGTTGGATGAATTATGTTTTATCTAATATTTCAAAAAGTCATAAATATTGTGTACAGTTTTTGGTGCCAATAAAATTATTATTATAAAGCTGGGTGAACGGGGTTGGGTGAAGTCGCACAGAACCTTGTTGCAACTTCGTTGGCAAGGTAGATGTCAAACTTTTCCCAGATATTAAAAAGGTAGTTAGGTACCTACAGAAACCTTAAAATAAAAAAGAGTACCCATACATAACTGCCCGTTATTCAATATTCAGAATCAAAGTAAAGTCCACAAAAGCGGAGATTTTGCTTAACAATAATTATCGTTGTTGTAATTAACGAAATAAAAAAGAAGCTGTTCTGTGGTCAAAATATAGGTACCTACCTACTCATTACACCCTTGAAGCAGCATTCTAAGAAAACTATAGTTGGGGTTTGGTTAGATTATCCAAATCTTGAGCGTTTATAAATTAAAATACTGTACACAGATTGGCCTTGAATTTGATACGCTTCGTGGACACGGTTGGGCATCGATAAATATTTATAGTATCTGAGTTTAATAAACTCCGGATGACCTTAAAGTCACATTATGTAAGCTTTAGGCGAAAATCACAGTTTAACTATAAATTGTGCTTGAGAGTTGGTTCGTACCTGAATGTCAACAGGAAATTAATTTGCTTATATCAACTAAGTAAGGTAGGGAATCTACTAACTGAACAGTTTAAATAATAATTAATAAATTTTTAAAAACAGAAACCTCTAGATCTATGAAAAAAATGTCTCAACACAGGGGATAAATAAATAAATAAAAGTAAACTAAAAAAATACATAACTTTGAACTCTCGATATTGTCACACAGAAATGAAGCAAGTAATCTCTAATGTCATGAAACCACACGGTATGAAAATTTACTGGTGGACATGGTAATGCGTAGACTCAACGGGAGCCGGGACCCACGCGGCCACGTGTAAACAGTGGAAAATTCACAATGAAATTACCCTACCGTCCATCGAAACGAAGTACTGTTTGACGGACAAAGGGGTGATGACGGGGTACTTACAGTAAACGAAATTCTATTTAGTCCGTTATTTAGATGATCAAAAAACGTATGTTTTCTTTGGGCAATCAACCAAAAAATTACAAAGTTATAGTGCGTCAAAATTTGTCACTTTTAAGTGAAAATTGTACCAAAACGTGACGTCATGCGACTTTTCAAATCAATATATCTCTGCAATCTTATATTATGAAAAAAAAGAAAAAATACGTGTCCAATACTTTTTGATAATCTACGATGATGATGATGATGATGTCTTGACAGCCACACCGATTTTTTTTTTACCAGGCGTCTCGACCGACATCCGGCTCATAAAACTATAATAAAATCCTACATTAAATTTCGACGGGTCAATTCATAAGGCGTCAGTGGTCCGGCCCAGATTCAGGAACCTCCACTCCTTCGTTGTCCAGGGCATCCACACCTCTCAAAATCCGGTACTGATCAACATTTTACAAAAATAGGGTAAATGTTAAGCTTTCTAAATCTTTTAAAGGTATTTTCAAAGTATATAAGAGAATTTCACATACATAAAAGAAAATTCTTTTTAATTTTTTATCATTCATTCTATTTTACTGAATGAGGGTGTTTGTGAAAATATACGTCACCAGTTGGCGCTACTGTGACGTGAGGTCTTTTATATAAAGTTCTTGCCGCAAACTGATCGAACGAGCATTTAAATTGATCCATAGACTATGAAGACATATGTGATTTGACGGATGAGTAGACCTTTCGTCTGAGTACTGCCACCTGGTGCCCGTCATTTCGGAAATCCCTCATTATATTAAGCTGCTAATCGTTCTGCTTATCATACCACTGCTACTGCTGCACATCATGAAGTGCCTTTTTGAGGTACTTCAATAGAGGTATTTTACTAATTTTGCATTATACTTCCTCTGTTTGGTTTTTCAATACCATAGAATCTGTTTATGAGCGATACTGTACAATACCCCACGCACGAACCAAAATCGAATTCGTAACGTTTGCGAGTCCGAAATGTCATTGTCAAATGTGTACTGATTTTTAGTTCCCGTTACGTCCAAACTGGCGCTGCTCTTCAAGTTTCCATAGGTACAAGATTTGACATTGACATTTCGGTTTGTAAACTATTCGAATTCGATAATGGTTCGTGCTAGGGGAACAGTTCATTTATCGTATCGAGCAGCCAACTATGCAGTTAAATTATTAAAAATCAATATGAGCACTTACCGACCTTATTAATAAACGAGGAATCAGCTAAGACTAGTTACGCTGCGTTTTGTTCATATCACTCAAAATGTCATTCAATGAAGAGAAAAAACATGGAGTAATTAATCCAAGCTTACTCCTTGTTGATTAATCAAGGGGCAAGTGTTTACGGCAAATAGAAATTTTCTAGTGTAGTATATATATTTTTAAGAATAAATCATAGAAGCTAATACATTATTATGCATTTTGATGGGGTAAAAAAAAAGTCAATCCGTAATTTTGCCAATAATTTATTTCAATGCTATAGTATAGTTACAATAATAAAAATTAGGGTTTACAGAGTAAACGAAATGGATGAAATTGTGCCCTAATTGAGAAAGCTGCAGTAGACAATAGACATTGAAGAAATAAATAGGTATTACAAAAATCTTAAGCCAAAACTCACAATGAATTAATTACTTGATTGAGTCTCAAAGAACTCAGGCTCCCTTATTAATAAACGAGGAATAAGCTTGGACCAGTTACGCCGTGTTTTGTTCATATCGCTGAAATTACATCATTCAATGAACAAAGGCAAAACATGAATTAACTAATCCAAACTTATTCCGCGTTTATTAATAAAAGTAATAAAGTTTAAAAAACAAAATCTTACTCTAACGTTACGTTTATTATGATTGCTGACAATATGAGTGTAAATAGTGGAAAATTTCAATTTACTTATTATGTAAATATTGGTCCTAATTCTGCCATCACTTTCTAAACTTAAAGCTTCATGTGACAGCAGTCTGTCCTTTTCATTCTGCTTCATTCATGCTCTATAACATGATATAAATAAATATCTGCAATACTTACACCAATTAACCCAGCCCCAAAATAAGCATTATAAGCAGTGTTGCCAGGTCTGCAGATTTTAGAAATCTGTTTTTCTGAAATTTCTCCTGTTCTATTGTTTTTCTACATGAATCTCCTGTTTTTATTAGAATACGATTTTCTGTTTTCAATTGCATGTTGAATTGTATTTTCCACCATTAATAATGTAGATAACCTTAATAATTATAAAATAAATATTATTGTCTATAAAAACCCTAGCTTTGAGGGGTGTTAGAAGCCACGGAAACACATTCGTTAGTCGGAAAAAGTCGGCATCTGCATCTACTGTTATTCTTGTAGCTCTTTCCATACATCTACTGTTTTTTCCTATAACCCCACCCGATTTTTAAAAATCGGTCCTGGTAACACTGATTATAAGGCTTGTGATATGGAATACTAGGGTAATGGATAGAATACATATACTGTATATATTTAAATAGAAATACATATCAAACATCCACGACTGGGGTATTAATGCTCGTATTCATCACACAAACATCTGCCCCCACCGGGATTCGAAACCGGGACCTCTCGAGTCGGCGACGCCATGAAACCCGGCGTACAAACCACCGGCCGCGGAGGTCGTCCAAAAAGATAAGGATAAACTACTGTGAAATTTAGTCATATTGGAAAATCATGGCATAATTAGGCCCGTTGAGTATGTTGAAGAAGCACATCACTAGTTTGGCACCATTCGTGAATAGTTTACATGCAATGCACATAATAATATGGGAATCTGTATATTGAGCGAACCATTTTATTATGGGGTTCAGATTTACGGCCGGTCTCAGAGACGTCAGCAAATTTAATGTATCTTAAAATAACGGTCGGTCTCACTATATTATCAAATTGAAGAGTGACAATGAAAATTAAAGATTTGATAAAATTTCGCTTTAGAATACCAGCAATTCCCTGTTGATTTTGTTAGGTTTTAATTGTATTTTCTTGAGACTGTTAATGATAATTATGCTAGCTAAATTGTTTGCAAGAATTTTTACGTATTTGATGAAAGTCGCACGGATTTGTTTTTATTTATTGGTGTTTAGAGATAATAAAAAAATTGTAATGTAAATCTTCGGTAATTAAATGTAGGTGACGTCTCTGGGTTCTGCCGTTAGATTTCCAAAGCAAGCTCGCTAGTTAATTAACTGTGGTGAGACGGTGCTTGAGCTTGAGCTGGGGGAGAATAGTTCTGAGATTGGCCGCCGCTCTGAGCTTGGTTCTGGTTTTGAGGCGCTTGCCCTTGAGTTTGCGGGGCTTGAGCTTGGTTCTGACTCTGCGGAGCTTGCCCTTGAGTTTGTGGGGCCTGAGCTTGGTTCTGGGTGTTTGATGCTTGAGACTGTATTGGGGCTTGCCCTTGGTTGATATTGACGTTTTGGTTTGAAGGAACTTGAGCTTGCGGTTGGTATTGTGCTTGTTGGGGTATTGGTTGACCTTGGGGTGCTTGATTTTGAACTATTGGTTGACCCTGGGGTGCTTGATTTAGAGGTATTGGTTGACCTTGGGGTGCTTGATTTTGGGGTATTGGTTGACCCGGGGGTAATTGACCTTGATATTGTCCTTGAGGAGGTTGATACTGAGGTTGGTAACCTTGTGGTGGAACTTGACCTGGCGCTGGATATCCTTGTTGGGGAATTTGACCAGGCATTTGCTGATATCCTGAAGAAACAAACAATAACGTTTATTGTAAGTTACCGAGTATATTACGGATTAGAGATTATTATAAATAACCTATGACACTTGCTCTTTTGCCGTTGCTTAAGTATGATATTAATAGTGCATACAGATTGTCTTGTTGTATTATTAGTTGTCGACAAAGTATGTGAACTATAAAAACACGATAATAAACATAGCATGTAGTTGTTTATAGTTTTTTCAGTTTATAACAATACTATTTTTATTTTTGTTAAATATTGTACTTTAATGTAATTATAACATTAATTTTAGCTATAATCTCAATATTGGTATGTCCTAACAGGACTTCTGTGTTTGTACCTTATAATAATGTATGACCTTATAATAATGTATGACCTTATTTTGCACATAAAACGCAGTAAACATTTATTATTCTGATTCTTGCGTCCACTCACAAATGAAACAATTGCTCCAACAATTCTCACCTTGCGGAGGCATCTGTCCTGGCGGATATTGTTGTCCATGGTGCTGTTGTTGCTGGTAAGCCTGTTGTTGGTAGGCCTGTTGTTGTTGGTGGTAAGCCTGTTGTTGTTGGTAAGCCTGTTGGTGTTGGTAAGCCTGTAAAGCTTGGTGGATCTGGTGTTCAGCACCGGGAATTGGGCGGCCGTGAGCATCGACCTGATGATACCATGAAAAGAATAGAAAAGAACCTTTACTTTATAACTGTTAGGATAAGTTAATAGGATGCCCGTTCTTAATGGATATGTTACCGGCAATCTGTATTATTCGGCATTTTAAACAATACCTAGGCAATGTATAAGTTCAAAGATAGTATAAAAAAGCTTATTACAAAGTGAACGGTTTCAATCATTCCAACAGGTTTTCTTTATTAAATAAGTCATGATTTTATTGACGGTTTAACAACATAATGATTTGTAAATTTTGTTACATTATACGTTTAATGTTGTGGAGTATTTTTCGCTCGTTTTTCTCCGCAGCCAAAAATATGTCCAAAAATGGTATGCAAAAAAAAATTGTGGACGATTCAAAAGAGTTGTACTATACATCCAATTTGAATAAAGATATATTGATTTCTGCTTTCTATAGAATGCCAAAAACGTCTAGTAATGTATGAAATATTATTCATTTTATACTTTGCCTAGGTATTCTATACAATGCCAAATGCGCAGTCTGCAATGTGAGCAAAAGAAGTTTTTTATTTATAATTATTTATCTATTATATTATCTATCAGGTGACTGGCGCTAAGTCACAACACTAACTTAACCTAACCCACTGTGAGTTGGTCAAACGTTCATTGGTCTGTAATTCATTTGGTAAGAATGATAAAATCCGTCTGTCATTTTCTATGCAACTGAGTAGGTTAGGTTATGTTTGGTTTGGATAAATACAAGCTAAATCTGTTTATTTTATACATTGCCAGTGGGCCAGCAGGTACTGTATACAAGCCCTAGGAATTGACATACCTAGGCAAAGTTTAAATGAAAAATAATATTTGTAATATTCCATAAATTGCCTAGACGCCCCAGGCATTCTATACATTGCTTAGGTATTGTATAGAATACCTGCATTATACATATTGCCGGTGACACTTATACACATGCATGCATATATCACCAATTTATGGTCTTAAACCACTTTTTTCTTCATTTCAGTGTTGATTTGCCTACTTTACTTAGAATTTTATACCATTTTATGTTAGCTATATTATTATTATAACTTGCAGTTTAACTTCATACGCTTTTTTTTCAATAAACCAACTGGAAAGTTGGGAAACAGAGTAGATTTTCTACATTCAAACAGCTAAATAGCTGCCACTTTAACAGATAGCAGCTTTTTTTTTCAGGTTTAATTATTTATTTTTGTGGACTGGCATTTCTTCTACATAAAAGCCAATAGAAATAAGTCAGATCCAATAGACGAAAAAATTTTAAATAGATCAAATAAAATAAGATCAAAACTTTGGCTTTGAAAGTTTTCTTAAAAGTACCATACTTTTTACATTAAAGGTTACAAAATGGTCGTAGTTTCAGGAAGACTTACTTTGCAAACCGTCTAGTTCGTGAAATGCACAAGTAGGCAGAATTGCATAATATTGTATAAGGTCTTGATTATATTAAGTACTATGTAGGTTTAGGTTATCCGGGCCATTTACCTATTATAAAACATTATGAAATTAAGTCGTTTTACAGCCAAGTCATTCCGTCTACTACGGCTCATAGCAATGAGGGTATTTTACAGACCAAGACATTTTCCTATCCAGACAATAACACAACAAAGGTGATCTGCTCGCCAAGGCTAAATGCAAGTAAGGCCTTCAGTACCGAACCCTTTTTAACGGTTTTATTTAATAGTTAATTTATTTATTCAGATAAAAGTAAACAATGAAGGAACTCACCAAACCGCGCTGCTGCAAGTAATGCAGCTCCTCTAACCGCCGCTTTTCGTATTCTTCATACTCCTGCTGAGAATAGATCTGATTCTCATCTATCGACTTCCACCCTGGACATTAAAACACAGGATATAAAAATATCCTTTAATGTAAGTAGTAATTTTTTTTACTTTCTTTTAATGTAAGTAGTAATTTTTTCGTTATGAAAATATTCTAAGATAACAATCTATTTACATAATTACTATATATATATATATATATATATATATATATATATATATATATATATATATATATATATAGCTAGACTAATTCTTTGTATGAGGAAGCTGCCAGCTCTTCGGTCTCCTGTGATGTCGACTAACCTTAAAGCGCTAGGACTCCACGGACCAAGGGTCTCGACACCGAATGGGACAAAATCATATTCGCAGCCTAGAAACAGCGGCTGAAAAAGCAAAAGTAAGCAAATACTGGGGGTATTGCCGCACCATTGTTATTATTTTTCGTTATTGTAAGTCCCTTAGGCTGATTTACAATTCGGTAAGTACATCGGCGGGTTCAATTCTTATCATCGTTTAGACAAGAATTTACCAGTTAAAAACGGACGCAAACTGAGAGACATTTGAGTAATAGGTATTTGAATAAACTATTGCTATCTCGCATTGGCAAATACCGTGCGATAGGGACAACAGTGGTTAACGCTGAGAATTGCGTATAAAAATTACAAAATTCGAGTTTTGCCTCGCGACGATTTCCTCATCGAAAATTAGGTGTATCTAAAAGAACAATAGAATATATAAGAACCCATAGAATAATAAGTTATTATACAAGGCCGCTATGTTTTGCTTTTTCTGTAAATGCTTATTGAATCTCCACACTAAACGTATTTAGTGGTGATAAAAATTTGTTTAATTTTGGCATTTTTGAGGGCTTCTGGTTTCTTTCAAACGCAAGTTATCGAAAAAAGGAAGACATAGGAGCATAGAGTAAAATTATATTTTATGTCAAATCATTTCTTTAGTGATTAGAATCAAGTACGTTTGTATGGAAAAAAAAACATTGCACGCCTCCCTCTTAAATACTTACTGCTTAACTGTCAGATTTCTAAACAAACTACTGTACTATCCAAGTGTAGCTTTTATAAGCAAATCATAAGGAATAACTTGACTATTTTATAATATGCACTAACCTTCATCCTGATTGAAGTCCGAGTTCTGCGTCTTGCTCATGAACTCATTAAAGTCAATCAAACCGTCGCGGTTAAGGTCATTCTCTTTGAACACGTGTTCTCGCATCCTTTCCATCTCTTCAGCCCTCTCATGCAAGTCTTTGTTGGGTCCCCCGGGGCCGTACAATTTGTCCAATTCCTTTATGAAGAGAGCTTTCACTTCGTGCGCATCCCAAGCGCCGTTGCCGTCGACATCTGTTCCAAATCGAATTAGCAAACCAATTCTAACGCAAACTGATTGTGATATGCCGCAGAGTAAAGTCATGCGCTTTCATTTGGGATCTAAGGTTGAATATCGGACAGCAAAAAGACATCTGTATAGGCAGACCGCTTAACTGAGTCCTCGCCATAGAGGTATAAGAATAGAGTGGGGAAGGCGGCTCTAAAAGTATCCGTCTAGTAGAAAGAGAAAGAAGATGAGAGACCGCTAGCTATCTCTCTCTCTTGTGACGCATGGCATCCAATGGCATCATATCGAAATAGTAAGATGCTTTGCCAATGCGCATGCGCGATTAGGGAGAGAAAGCTAGCGGTCTGTCATCTTCTTTCTCCATCTATTAGAGGGACATTTCCACTTGTAGTAGAATCTATATCTCCCCTACTCTATTCTACCTCTATGGTCCTCGCCTGGAGGGTAAAGGTGCAGGCGGCAGGCACATTCTTGTCAAAATTACAAGCGCCCGCACTTCTCAAGGCACCTGGTCTCGTCCTCTGCCACACCCTTTACCCCGCAAGCGAGGACTCAGTTAAGCGGTCTACTTATAGTGCCGTGTAGGTAGGTTGCATTTGACTTTAGATCGCTTTTTGATTCAAAATCGTAAAGGTATACAAGGTACGCACGCTGTTAATAGCAACATATATTTTTCCCTTTTTCGATCTCTAAGCAAAAATAAGATAATATGGGAGTTGAATTTTAAACTCTTTCTATGTTTTAGTTATTGTTATGAGAGTTTAGGTAATTATTGTCAAGGATGTCGAGCGCCGACTTTCTATTTTGTGATTATACACTGAGACTTTAAAAAAAACCGACCCGTCTCGTTTATTGCCTTTAAATAGAAAGGAAAGACATCGTATAGAGAAATTCCAACGAAGATTATGTGAAAACTGTAATTGGTTATTGTGATAAATTGCAGTAGCAAAGGAAACAGTTCACAATAAAAGGATAGCTTATCTGAACATTAATAAGATCCAAATTTCGTTTATTACAAAATTTTGACATAAGTTAAGCTCGGGAGTTAATTTTCTAACTGGTAACTCTTTCTAATATAATTGAAGGGATACATAATTGAAGTATCTTTGTGACACAATAACTATATACAGCATAGATTTCATTACTGGGTGCCAGTTTTCCCCTGTTTATAATTAAAATCATATATATATATATCACACTAATTCACACTAATATTATAAAGGCGAAAGTTTGTGTGTATGTGAGTGTGTATGTTTGTTACTTCTTCACGTCCAAATGGCTGGAGCGATTTTTATTAAATTTGGTATGGAGTTAGCTGACACCCTAGATTAACACATAGGCTACTTTTGTCCCGAAAAAATGTTAGGTTCCATAGGGATTTTTAAGAATCTAAGTTAACGCAGACGAAGTTGCGGGCGACCTCTAGTATATATATATATATATATATATAGGGCAACAGCCTTCTGATTCTATATCATGCAATCTCACTTTCGATTTCATTAATTAAATCCTTTCAATTATCACAATGCACCATTTGCCATGTAATGACTCGAAATTTTACAGAATCACCTTAATGGGCATTAAACACTAAGCGGATGCAATAAAATTATTAGGTTGTTAATAACCCATAAAATTGCAGTCAGAATCAATGGCTTTAAATAGCCTAGGAAATAATTAATAACTTGTGATGACATACCGATAGTCGAAAATGAAATTAAAATATACTCAGTATTAGAATACAGTAAATCCATTACAGAAGGAGAACGCGGATTTAACTGCTTGTCGATAAACATTTAATAAAATATAGGCATTACTTTTGGAAACAAACAAGCGCATCGGTTTTTAACGACAAGTATTAAAATAATACATCAATTATTTAACCATTACGTTGAACAAGTATGTTATCAAATTATGTTCCTTTTGTTAAGGAAAGTATCGCTGTGCAAAGACAACCAATTAAAAATTAGAGGTAATGAAAATATTTTTATGGTCATGTAAACATTGATACTATAGTTATAACGCTTACATAATTTTAAAATATATTATCATATTTTTTTATTTCACAATTGTACAACTAAAACACTTTGGGTCACTACTTTGGTTAAATTCATAAAGTTAACTTTAAAAAACATCAATTGTTAGATAAGCAACACTAAGGTCACTGAGAAACGACATATTATGTCAATTATACGATTATGTTAGGTGAAATCTCGGACAAAACAAATGGTGTAATAAGCAAGAAAATCAAATCAAAAATGTATTAATTTCACTTCAGTAACTTTGGAAAATCATCGCTAATTCAAGGAATCATTCAAAATCCGGTCTATGAAATGACATTAACGAAACTACGAATACAATAAAACTACGAAAAGGCTAAACTCGCAATATAATTAGTGGTTAGTGTGAGTCCTCAATTAAATTAATTAATTTACCTGGAATATATTTTATTATTTTATTGTATTGTAAGAATTATATTATTTAATTTGAAATTGAGTGACTAGTAAAATATTGACATTTTCAATATTACTTAACATTGAATTGACTAAGATTTGAATGACAACTAACTAAATAAATTGACATTGTAATTAATATATTTAACATTCAATTGGCTATTAATAATTGAATTTATATAATAAACCACAAAAAATCTAAAGAAAAGTTTACTAGAAAAAAATCCACGCGGACCAGGCAGCGGACGGGACCTGGTCCGCGTGGATTTTTTTTCTAGTAAACTTTTCTTTAGATTAAACATCTAGCAGTTAAATGCTTCAAAAATAAATAAAATCATAACCACACAAAAATTGACCATGGGTAGGCTTAAAACCAGCTGCACTGTCTGTGCCTATTTGTATTCATATTTATTAGTTAAATATAATGTAACACGATACGATATGGAAATAAAGCACTTGAATTTGTATAAAGAAAATAATTTTAAACACACAAAACAGAAATTGTGCAGCTACAATACGCGCTTATCAAACGCAGAAAACAATTGCTCAACTACTTGGTGGAGTAGGTACAAATTATAACCAACTCATGTTACACTCGACTCACTTATTACGCATACCATGCAAATCGATTTTGAAACTAAAAAATAAAACACACCTAATTTCCAATGAAATACGTAACATAAAACACATGCGTATGAGTAAAATCCAAAACAGCGTGCTATGTTATGAAAACAAAGTTGATTCAACACAAACGACTACATAATTGAAAACTACTACAGATGATGCACGATTACATTTCTTACCATGCATCATGAAAAACACCTTTGGGTCGAAATCTTTAGTATCCATTTTGTCAGCGTTTTTCCATATCTCTAACAACTGGTCTCTGGTGACCGGGTGATGAAGCTGCCCACATAAAACATCGAATTAATAAATAAATGGTAATGTCCACTCACCATGCATCATGAAGAAAACTTTAGGGTCAAACTGTTGGTCCATATGGTCCTGTTTCTCCCACACTTCTTCCAGTTGTTGCTTAGAACCAGGATGGTGGAGCTGTATCGTTAAAGTCACATTGGGTCATGCAAAACTTTGTATGGCACTATTATTATGAAAAATTGATATTTGTTTATAATTTTAAAAATGTATGTTAACATACAGAGTTTAGAGAAAATGCTTCGCTATGGTAGATTTGATTTAAATATTACGAAACAACATGCTTCGACGGCGACTCATGTGTATAAAATCGAGGTGCATAAAATACATTTTTATATTGTGAATAGAAATAAAATTTCAATATGCAATTTGCTGCTACTAACTGCTATATGTTTACATCTAAATAAAACTTTACTAGAAAAACATCCATGCGGAACAGGCAGCAGACGGGACTCGAGCCCGGCCCCTCCTCTATCTAGGCGGATGCACCGACCAATTATGCATTTTTTTCTAATTGTTTCATCAAGTACATAATTTTTTATACATATTTATTATTTACAAGGAATATATTTATATTCAGAACAAATAAGAATTTACCTAAATTTCGTAATTTATTAAGTAATGACGTCTTCAATTAAGTAGGTAATAATAAGATAAATTCAATGCACGAGTTGTTATGTTATCTTTGTAATGGACAAGAATAATGGCATACTGATAAATATGTTGAAAGAGGGACTTTCCTTGACAATTGACTTACTTTGTTTTCAATATTATCTGCTAAGTGAGAAATCGACCCTTAAAAATCCCCCCGTCGCATTATTATGAAGAAATCGCAAAGTATATTGGGAAACAGGAAAACGAGTTCCAACATACATAATGTAATCGATTGAAAGTTAAACAAAAGTACATCATACCGGTTGATGATGTTTCTTAGCATCTTCTTCCTGTTTCGCCTTTTCCATAAATTCCTTCTTTTGGGTTTCATCCATGCCTTCTAACTTTTGGTGTTTCTCAAATTCTTTTTGCATCTCATATTCCTACAAATTATTTAAAAAAAATACCCATAATTTCAAATTATTAATAGTGTAGTAGAGACTACTAAAACTATCATAGAATTATAAATTTGACATTTAAATTATGATGGATATTTTTCAAGACTACATCCAGAAAATATAAACGGTTAGAACATTTTCAGTTGGTATTGCAGTATTTCAACTTAATTGCAAATTTATTCTAAGTCATAAATTTGTGAATATATTATGAAAAGTATTAATAATATTTTTATATGAGAAGAACCTTGAATTCTTGCTCCCTTTTCTTGTCAGCAGCCTGTAAATCTTCGGTAGTCTTCTTAATAAGACGCTTGAGATCTTCAATTTCGAAAGTGTGCGGATTCCCGTGGTCCAAGTGTTCGTTAGTAGGCACTTTACCCATATGTGTGTCGAGATGGTTGGTCAGCTCATATTGCTGGAAAATCAATACAATCATTGCTACTAAAAACACGATAATGGCCTGCGCAGACGAGGGACTTTGGACCGCGGACTTTTTTGTCCGCCAAAATAGATCGCTTACACTTGCATCGAGTAACACACACGAAGAATTAAAAGTCCCGCGTACAAAAAAGTCCCCTGAACAACCGAGGACACCGAGAAACCTAACAGGATGCGGAAGTCCCCGAAAAAAATAGAACTTATGTGACTAGGCACATTAAGGTACACAGCGAACTTTAGTGCGCATTGTGCGATCGATCCGATATAAAGGGTCTTTTAAAAAAAACGTTTTAAAAGAGAATACTGCGTCCATAGTATTCTCTTTTAAAACGATCTTTCTTTCTCCTAAACTTTCATTTATTATTACCAGTTTCAAAGAAATATACAGGGTTAATTTTAAAACATCAACAACCTCTTAGGAGGTGATTCTACCCATCAACAGGAACAACTTTTATTGTGGGACCAACTCTGAAATAGCGAAAAAAATCTGCTGTTTTATACATTTCGGTCAATTAGCTGATGCACTTTTGTATGAAACAGCAGATTTTTTTTCGTGATTTTAGTGTTGGTCCCATAATAAAAGCGTCCTGTTGATGGGTAGAATGGATAGAACCTAAGAGGCTGTTGGTGTATTAAAATTTACCCTGTATATAGTAATCAATAGCATCTTAAAATCACAGAGGTTTGAATTTATGCAAAGCACGCCTGGGGGCCAATCGCCTAACTGGATTGCTTTGGAAAACGCTATCGCTTACGATTTCATTTTGTTATTTCTAGCCGCCTCAGGTTTTCAAATGCCTCGCGCTCTTTTTTTTCCTTTTGCATTGGTAATAACAATGTTAAAAAAAAGGAGTGTGAGGTATTTGAAAACCTTCGGCGGTTAGAAATAACAAAATGAAATCGTAAGCGATAGCGTTTTCCAAAGCAATCTGGTTAGGCGATTGGCCCACTGCTCAGCGTTATTATTCTAAGCCTACAAGATAATCTTAAATTGCTAACGGAGTTACTTTATAACATTAATAACAAAAGTAGTATGAATGCACATTTAAATGAGACAAAATTACAACGCAACGTAATCTCAGAATATTTGATTCCATAACATGCGTTTTTCAAAAATTTTCACATCCTGTGCATCGAGTCTTTGACAAGTCTTCGGCGGATTTTTTTTACACAATTTCTGGTATTTTTTCCTCCACGGACAAAACTCCCTTGTCTGTGCAGGGCATTATTGATCGCAATCACCGTGATATCTATTTTATTTGTTGAGTTTTATGTAATTTTTATATAATTTACATGCTCCATCCTCTCTCGCTCCTTTAATTTAACCATCAAACAGATGGTGAGTTTGAAGTTAAACTTGATAAGAAATCTATAGTTATTGTACGGATAAGAAAATATATTCCTTTGAGCATGATTATTTCTGAGCATATTTGGTTAATTAAAAGTTTTGTACTCAGTACATAATAAAACAGAATGTTGAGTATTCATGAAAAGTTCCAAATGAGGTTTAGTAACGGTCATAATTTAGTGAAGTCAATTGCCTGCATTCGCAAAACAATCGACTTTCAAACTTAGTTTAAAATGTGTTGCTTTAAGAGTAAGGTATTATTCGAAAAAAATATAAACTATACATATAATAAAATGGTAGGAAAGTCAAAACTGTACATTGAATATTTTTTTAAAAGAATACTTGGGGTGTGATCTACCATCGATACCGAAGCCAAAAATATAGTTTTTAGATTTTTGTCTGTTTGTCTGTATGTATGTCCAGGATAAACTCAAATTATCAACAGGATTTACTTCAAATTTGGCACGAATATCATTAAGAAGTCGGGTCAACATACAGGCTACATATTATCACGCTATCACCTACAGGGTACGAGCAGTGAACATTTATTTCTAACTAACGCGGAAGTCGCGGGCGGCCGCTAGTACTTTATAAAAAATTAAGTGTCTCGTTTCTAATTGCTTAAGTATATCATATTATGGTTTTTTTTCAGATGGATAACAAAAACTATTAATATATATATGACGCTGTGTTAATGACTGTAATAATTAAAAAACAATAAAATTCATTTATGACGAGATAACCCATTTACATTATTAGGCAATAATGAGTGTGCAGTATTCTTAAATCCCTTATATATTATTAAAATATTCTATTGTTATCCTGCAATAGAATATTTTAATAACACATAATCTAATTTCTCAAATATTGCCATCTATATGGGTCTTGCATTGTTGTCCATGTAAAAAAAATGCATAGCTGGCAGCCGGTAGCCAAGCTAGGGATCCTAAATAAAACAATTAACTGTCGTAGATCCTTTGCTATCTGACAGCCCTCTTTTGTAGCTATGTCCTACATGAGTATCCGCGGAAGGGCCTGCGAGGGGTACGTATAAGCCAGGGTAGGCGAAACTTTATGCTACAACGTGCCATTTTTTCTAAAAAAGGTTTATTGGGGTCATTGACGTGCCATCAAATAATTTTGACTTTATGAATAATTGAAAAATAATAATAATAAATACTATCAAAACTCTTTATGAAATAAAGTAAACAAACAAAGTAAGAGGTACATTTTGGAATGTTTTTATTACACATAAATTAAATTAGTGTGACTTCTGTTGCTGCAAGTTAGATGACAAATAAAGGTTGTAAGATGTTACCTTTAGCAAAATGCATGCTGAACTGGATTCATCTGTCAAACGGTTTCTAAACGAGTTTTTAATGTTATTCATCTTTCAAAATAATGACTCGCAGGCATAGGTGGATAAAACATTGTTAAAATAGCATGTGCCAGCTTCTTCAAACAGTTAAGAAGGACTGCATATGCCATAGGCAGTCGTTCCTTAGCGGACCGAGAGCGGTGAGGTGGGCAACAACCGCACACTTAGCTCCCAACGCAGGCAGTCCTGCGCACGCCTGCGGGATCATCGGAAAGACACCAGCTGATCCCTGCCGTGGAGCTATGAATAAAGTGGTTTCGTTTTCTTATTTGTTCATATGTAAGTTCAAAACTTACCTTTGTCGCGAGATGGCGGAGTCTCTCTAGTTCACGTCGTTTGATTTCGTCCAGTTTCGTTCGAACATTATGATTAACGAAATCAAGCTGTTCGGCAATTTTACCTGACTGTAATAAGAAATTACAACTTAAGGAGATATATTATAAAGCATTTAGATTTTAAATATTTCATAGTTTATATAATATTGCTAACTCATGTAATGAGTAAGCAGTATCAACTATGTAACGAAAATATGTATATAAAAAATTCACAATACCCTGACATCCTCTTCTTCTGCCTTCTCTAAGCGTTCCCTAAAGTCCGGATCACTTTCTAGGGCTTGCACTACTTCTTTCAGATATCTGTGATATTCCATGTACTCATCCTGTGAATAAACAGATTACATAAATACAAGAAGTACAAAAGTCATTTAGTCAATCTTGTTTTAAAATTAAGAATTTTTTATGATTTGTTTGGAAGATCATGTTTTTCCTTGTCAAATCAGATTAATGTGGAAGTAGGTAAAATAAGTATAATAATATACATAAAACAAAAAATCCAACTTATTTCGCATAGACAAAGAACATTTATTTATCCCACAATATTGACAATCGCAAAGCAAACAAAATTACATACACATTGAAATTCAAAAGTATTTTAAAATAAATCTATCATACAGGCATTTACATATATTTACTAGCTGTCCCAGCGAACTTTGTCCCGCCATAAAAAAATAGGGGTAGGTGGTAGAAGGGTGAAAATTTAGGGTTGTATGTATTTGTGTATGATGTATCATAAAAAATAAAAAAAATATATCTAAAATTGAAAAAAAAATTAGGGTTGGATTACCCTTAACATTTAGGGAGATGAAAAATAGATGTTGTCCGATTCTCAGACCTACCCGATATGCACACAAAATTTCATGAGAATCCGGAAAGCCGTTTCGGAGGAGTTTAACCACAAACACCGCGACACGAGAATTTTATATATAAGTTTAAGAGAGAGATCATAATTGAAGTCTCACTATACATCAAACTTCTCACTATTAGCAGCAGCAGCAAGCAGTGTGAGATTGATTAATTTAATACAAAATAACACAAATGTTTTTTCTACAAACATATTGAATGAATGTATCTGTATCAGGTTTAAATACTCGTTTGACCAAGACCAACAATTTTATATGTTTTCTCTACACAAAAAAACTAAAACAATATTTTTATTTCTTCACAAAAGTGCAGAGGCGGTGTAATGCGTGGGCGACGTGGGCCACCGCCTACGGCCTCGCGGTACAAGGGGCTTGCGCCTGAAAATTTTTTATGCATTGCTTAAAAGCGAATTTCTTTTTTTTATTGATTATTTTATAAAATCCGTCTTCAGGTCGCACAGAATAGGGCCTCGCGAAATCTGTCTTGCCCACATCAAATTTAGGTCTTGCCCTGCCACTGCAAAAGTGGCCTAACCTCAAACCAAACTTAATTATTATAAAATGTTATATGAAAGGTTTTTCTGTTATTTATTATTCAGATATTTGTGTTACAAATGAATCATTTCATAAAATCCAAAACTTTATTGAATCAACTGCTTGTAGCAATTTATCATTATCTGACAAATCAAATCATTTTCAGAGATAAAGCAATTTTTATGTGATGTGATTAAGGATTACTTTCCAATTAGACTTTATCTATTAGATAGATAATAAGGAGTAACAAATACTTATGTTTCTTAGATTTATTGACATATTTATCTATTAATTTGCTTTTAGATTGTGAATCAAAAACTTAAATCAAATCTCTAAAAGACCACTAACCTGTAAATGACCACTAACAGTACTAAAACAGAGTATTACCCACAAAACGGCAAAGACCTCATTTGAAATTAATTTTAAAATATGCTTACCTACTTACAACTTATAATCAATTATAAAATTATACATTAAAATTAATGTAACAAGGAAAAAGTTTAAAAAAGTGTTACATCAATTTCATCAGCAATAAAAAAGGTTTTGAGAAACTTACAAGATCATCTTTTATTTCACTATCTTTCTTCTTGTCTGGAGTAACAGGTGGAGCATATGAACAATGGAGTATCACCATGAGACATAACAAGTAAGGAAGTAACCCCATGATTGCCTGAAAAGAGATTTTAACATCAGCCTATTAATGTCCTCATTGCACTGGCACAGGTCTTCCCTATGGACAGAATAAGGAGATTGGGCCATAACCCACCACATAGACCCCGTGTTGATTGGTGGGTTCTAACACTGCAGATGCAGCAGGTACCAACATCTTAACATGCCTTCCAAAGAATGGAGAAGCTCAAGATAGTAAATTTTTAGTCAGCCTTCCATCCAAGAGACATTAAGTACCTAATTGAAATTAACAACAAAGACTAATGGTTTTCTGTAAAGTATTTATTTAAGTTAAAAAAATAATCAACTATTTAATTTTCATAGTGATAACTGACATGACATGACAACCCTTCTCCATGATATCCAACATTCTTTTTGATTTTCTAAGCCTCTAATGTTTGGGACATTTGAAAGTTCTATAACCAGTAAAATTGCATTCACTAAATTTTCTATGCAGTGACTGCATTTATTTGCCATAGTAATATTTATTTTATATTTTGTAAGGCTAGTTTATCTATGTATGTGCTTACCTACGTGACATAAACATTACATTTAAAGTTTATACTACTCAGTTCATTCAATGATTTTTATGATAAACTATGCTTACCTTTGTTCCAATAAAAACAAAACGTGAACAAGAACTCTAGCACAATTTTCGCAGGTAAAAAGACTGAGCAACTACCTACTGAGACACTTCACAAGTGTTAAAAACATTTTTTTTTATTAGAAAAAATGGTGTGTGACGTCAATGGTATGACGTGTGTGACGTATAACGGCCGTATCCACAGATTACAGAAATTATGTGTCGTGCGCGCCGTCTACACACACATGCACGGGTACAAGTTTGTCTATAAAGTCGTGACATTAAATGATGGCGCCACTAGTATGCATGTAGCAACCCTGTACAGTCGCGTCGGACCAAAATGATTTTGATACTAGCAGTTCATTCAAGTAAAATAGGTAATTAACAAGACACACTATACAGTCGTATTTTGTTTCTGTTTATATATAGTAGGTACCTATGCTTATAAAAAGTTTAGCCAAGCATATTTAATTGAATCAGAATAAAATTATTATAGATAAAATAGTACTTTATAGTGTAAAAGTGTGTAATGTTGGTGATTACCGCTGAGGTGCCATTGAGACCAGAGCCGTTAGGTAATCATCAATACACACAAGTATCATCATACGTCGGTTTTTAACACACTTGTTAAGAAAATAATACTAAAAATCATTTTATAGTATATAAAAAGTTTATTTAGAGAAACAATTAGTAAATGCGCAGTTAGTAAAATTAGTGATAGGTATCTTCACTAAAAGCATCTGGCCATGGTTCTTTATGTGACCATTTCTTTCTTTGGTCGGCCTTGCCTGTTTTCCCTGGAGTTTCAAACTTTCCATCATTCTTAAAACCTTCGTTGACTATGCGACTCTCTGATTTTCCTGAAAAAAAAGGAAAAAAATATGTAACGGAATAGAAACAATAACTTATTGACATGAAGCAATTAATTCACAGTGGTCTGTGGTCGCCCATAAGCGCCCCTGCAAAAGGGAGACTGCTAATGCGGCAGCCACACACAGTCACACACAGAAAGGCTCGCAGGGCCAAACGGAACGCAGTCGTGTCAACCGGAGCGCGAGAAGGGAAGCCCACAACTAACACAAACACAGACGGCCACCGCAGCAGTGGAAACACAGCGCGAGCCTATAGAAATCCAGAGGGCCGTCAAACCGAACACAAAACAACAACCACGGCGGAGACCGAAACCGATGGGTTTTCGTGGTCGGCTAGATATTTCACTTGTATGGATAGGGAGAGTTTGGTATTACAGTGCTGGTAACTGAAGTTCGGGTAACTCCCTTTTGTTGGTGAAAAGAACAAGCTCTGTTTTATTCGGGTTTACTGACAAGTGATGTTCGTCACAGCATTTTTCCACAATCTGAAGAGCTGAACGCATAACTTTACAAAGGACATTTTCAGCGTTCCCATTTATCAGAATTGTTAGGTCGTCCGCAGCCGATAGTAGTATATCCTCTATCCTATCATTCAGACTTCTTAGGAGACTGTTGACCACTATGTTCCAGAGAAGTGGTGATAGGGACTCCCCCTTGGGGACATCCTCTAACGCCAGAATCGACACCAATACCAATGTCGATCGATCGGGATTGGTTTCTAGAGTAAGCCCACTACAGTTTATCATATATTAAGAAAAATCACTTTTAAAATTAAGTAATAAAAATGTCATATGAAATGATATAAGACAACCAGTTATACTTCTTGAGCCTATGTATTAAAAAAATATTATGTTCAATAGGTACATACGAAATTACGAGGGGGTCCAAAAATTCCTGGAATGGAGGGGGTAGCGGTATGACTATATCGAATTCCCCACACGCCGCAGACGACAGTTGTACAAATTGTTTTTGAAGATACGGGTTCGAAAAAGGTATTAATCGTAATTGGGTTATCATTTACAATAATTTTGAACCATGGACTTATAAAAAAAGGCGGACAGAGTCCCGGTAAATAATAAACTGTGTCGCTCAGAGTCGGCCAGGTCGCTGTACGTACAAGCCGGCACGCACACATTCACACAATAGTCAGCCACTACGCGTGCAAACGTCAAAGCAGCTGACACGTTACGTGGAGATAAAAAATAAGCTAAACAAGATATCTTGCTTGTAAAAAGGTGCAAAAACCGTAGTGACCGAAAGAAAAAAAATCCAGGAATCACGTTTCATAGGTAAATGAATAATTGAATCACTTTTTTCTAGTTTTTAGAAATCGAAATCAATTTTAATTCTAAGGACAAAATGATTAGTCTAAAGCCCAGTGTTGCCAATGTTCATGTAACCATATTACCTAAAATATGGGAAATTCGGTTGACATTAACTTCAATCTATTATTTATTGTCAGATTTCCTAAAGAAAATTTAGTATGGAGAAATTACTGGAAAATGAATGATTTCCAAACAAATATGTAGTAGTGTCATTTTTAGTCTTCATTTTGAAGCTCAAGACTTACATACAACTAAAGGAGGACTCCGGCGTGTTATTACGTATGCATTACCTCAAAAGGTTGATTAAAATGTTTAACCGACTTCGAAAAGGAAGAGCTTCGCAATGCGTCATATTTGTTTTTTTTTTATTGTTGTTTGCGCAGATCTCCGAGATTCGTGGACCGTTTATGATGATTCTTTTTTTGTTTTAATCAGTTTACTAGCGAGATGGCTGCATATTAATTTACTGGAGATCTGATGAGTACTTTCGGAGGAAAACAATGGAACTCCTCAATTACAAACAGTACTCAATGGGTGTTAGTTTATTTTAAGAAATATGAAAGAGAATGCAGGCCAGGCCATCTATATTTAGTTGATTTACCCAATATTGAGAAAATTGGATACATTCTAGAATTTCTAATGAGTCCCGACTGTTAAAGTAACTTTGTTCTTTATTAAACAGAATTCTAGACTACTGGACTTGTTTTTTTTCTTTTTAGTACATTTTTTTTATTTTCTACATTTTAATTTCATTATTTTTTAATTACACGAGTTGTATATTTTCTAAATATTCTTTAAAAACCCTTCACTTTGATACCTCGCTTGACGGGTTATAAAAATACTTATACTTTTATTTCAAAATGGTTCATTTTGGCGCATAAAATCTGTTATTTTGATTTTTTGAAATTTTAATATACCGAGTGCCACTCACACAATCACGACAAATCAAATGACACCTCGCATGTCAAAATCCGTCAAGACGTTCAGGCTGTAGGGCGTGCCAAATTATTGGACATACATACATGCATACATACGCTCGAAAAACATTATCCTCCGCAGTCGGGCAAAAAGTAAAATTTTGAACAATCAAAATATTTTCATGTTTTTACTGTGTTTTATTGGTAAAAAATTGGCTAACCTAGCAACCCTACAATTCACTCACTCATCAATAGCCGCCGCCATTACGGTGCCTCAGTCTTGTCTTAGGCGAAACTCTGTCCGCCTTTTTTTATACGTCCATGTTTTGAACATTCTTCATAACCATCTCAAAAGTATGCTAAAGATCGGTTCAATTCTCACGCCGCTTCAAGCAACAGAGCGTCGAGTGTTTCTCAAGAGTTTCTGAACCTGTGGTGCAATAACTGAGATAAATTTGTGAACCGGATTGTTACTGAAGATAAAACTTGGGTTCATCACTATGAACCGTAGTGTAAACAAAAACTCCATGGAGTGGTCTCAGACCAGTCTGAGGAAGTGGTATAAAAAGTTGCAGCACTAAATTGTTGCCACGTTCTTTAGGGGCTTCATCAACAGCCTATTAATGTCCCCACTGCTGGGGCACAGGCCTTCCCTATGGATGGAATAGGGAGATTGGGCCATGACCCACCACGCGGGCCCAGTGCGGATTGGTGGGTGCTAACGACTGCAGATGCAGCCGGGACCAACGGCTTAACGTGCCTTCCGAAGCACGGAGGAGCTCGAGATAGTAAATCTTTGGTCACCCATCCAATGACCGACCACTGCGAAAGTTGCTTAACTTCAACGATCGCAGCCGAACGCGCTAACCACTTGCGTCATCGAGCTCCTATTTAGGGGCTTAGTGAATTTTATTTGTTGATCATAAAAAAAGGTGTCAATATAATGGGAGAATACTAGGCTTCACTGCTACAAAAACTAAAATAGGTAATGCTATTTCTATGCTGTAATAAGAAAAAGAGCCGCTTCCTTTATGGATCGCATTAGAATTAATAATTAGTGCTGTGTATGAATGACTGCTGTAAATATGACATATGTGATTTGTGATATTTGACATTCTTGCCTGCTGTAATCGATTTTATTTTATTGGACTCAATTATTATTTGTTTTTGATTTTATTTTATTTTATTTGATTGATAATTGGATTATGATGTAATTTAAATGAATTGTAATTATTTGAAATTTATATTTGTATTATTATTATTGTGATTGTAATTATTTAATTTGATTGTCATTTTTTATTTATTTTTCTATTTCTGTATGTAATATGGTATGCCTGAAATAAATGGTTATTATTATTATTATTATAGACGAAGGAGAAATGCAGTCGAGTTGTGCTCCTCTTTCACCACAGCACCCATCGACAAGAGTAATTTTGCCATGGCAGCCCTAAACAAGTGTGGTTTCGAAACATGTAACCATCCTCTTCATAGCCTAGATTTAGCTCTTACTGCTTCGAGGAAATTTTTTACCGAGGATGAAGAAGTGAAGTCTGCAATTTTTGCCTATTTTCAGGACTTGACAAAATATTTTTCCTAGATATAATAAGTTATTGAAAATATCGGAAAAATGTATCAGGCTTGCGGGAGAATATATTGAAAAAGAAAATTATTTTCATGTTTCATTTATTCCCTCTCCCCTTCATTACACGAACCTTTGGACCTCCCCTCATACACCCTTATAGGTATAATTTACCTCGAGTATGAAAACTGAACTACATGATTGACTTATACATACATATAACATTTACAAAATTTCATTTTGATTGTTTTTACATGAAATACTTTCATTATTTTCGAACAAAAACATTTGCTGATTTAACAAAAAGGAATACTTTTTAAGTGCCTGATATTTACTAGTTTACAAGCAATAGTAATTTTGTACCTACTTATAAAAAATCATTACTCCAATCTAAAACAGAAAAATACAGTAGTTTCAAAAAAAAATTAAGAATATCAATATAATGAAATATAGGACATGTGCTATATATATAATGATAATTTAGAACTAGATTTTATCGAACTCAGATTATCTGTAATCTGAGTTATCAATATTATTTAATACATGACTACCATTGCTAGTTGACTTTCATTAGATAAAATGATGTAAGTAAGTAGATGTTAGTCAGACAGATTGCAAACTATTTTATTAGGTGCATACCTACCTACAACATTAATAAATTCGAGATTGATTCATTGACGAATATTCTGTTTAATGGACTTCAAACAAAACAGAAGGAGATTCTATATATTTGTTCATAATACAAAAATACACATACATATCTGATAACTAGAAGGGCCAGCGGATCAGTCTGCTCCATGCTACCGCTTGATGCAGTGCAAGCCCTCAACAATTTAAAGCCCAACACAACTTTGACAAGAACATAAAAGAAATATTGGCAATGTGCTAATTCTGCTGTTGGTAAATTTGTGACCAGTTTCTTTTTATTTTTCATTTGTTATGTTGGACAAATAATTGCAATGTGTGGTTGGTTTAATTAACAAAACATTAGCTTAATTTGCTTCATTCACAAAAAGGTCTAATGATAATGTCATCATATCAATAATCTGCAGTTTTTTTATTTTTAGTCTTTGGCAAATGCCGTTGACCATGTCTGGAACCAACAAATAAATAAAATGCACTTATGCAAAATGCAGAATAATCACATCAAGTATTAGCACACTGCCAATGATAATGAAAGCAAAAAAAATTTGCAGAAAAGTCTATTGAATGATTAATAATTACTCAATTATTGGTCTTTACAAAAAAATTAAATGATGACAAAAGAATTACAATACAATTATTAAAGTTTAGTAAAGAGAAACTAAGGACTATTAATCTGATCTTTAAAAAATTAAATGTCTTCTGAATTTTGTAGTGTAAGTAAACCTTGATATTCCATTTCCTTGTACAATATGTCTTGATTTAATGTATGCAAATTATCTTGGAATCTTTGTCTCAAGGCCAAATTTTCCATACCAGAAATTTCATGCTGAGTTTTCTGTCTCCTCTGTTTCAGTTCTTCTAATTCTGCTCTCAGTTGCTCTATTCTTAATGTCATGTTGTCTTTAGGGATATCATGAGTCTGATAGTCGAGTTCTTCTTCCGAAGAAAAGCCACCACTCTTTGAATGTCCTGTCGTTCCACTTGTAACTGTGTGACTGGCAGACATTTTACGAGATTGAAACATACCGGAATTAAATTCTATTGGAAGAGATTCTCTTTTAGTGTTAAAGCCAATCATTCCATGCATTGAGTTTGTATCAGAAAGTCGACTATCATAAGCAGAAAGATGACTGTCATCCATCTCCACATTTAAATTTTCTTCTTCTAAATCACTGTCGCTTACAGCCCCTCCAAATATATCAACAACATTTGATCTTTCTGATGGTGTCTCTCTCTTACTGTCAACTTTAATCTTTTTATCAGGTTTCACAGGTATGTTCTTATCAGGTTTAGGGTGTTGCTCATCCTCTTCTTTTATTACTTCCCATGTGAAGCTAACAGCTTCATTATCAGCTCTTAGTAAACGCTTGACTTCTTTTTCTATTTCTGGTGCTTCCACAAACTTTTTTCTTAGTGTTTTCCTAAAGCGGCGTTTACGGACATTTTTTGTAGGAGGTGTAATGCCATGAGGAAATAGAAACTTTTTATCAACTTTGTATGGATCTTTCTTCTTATTTTTCACAGGTGATTCCTCTTCATTAGATGGTTGGTCTGGTTCTTCTTTGCATATCATCATTTGGCAAATATCAGCTGTTTTATAAAAACTTTTATTGTCAATTGTCTTCATAGATTCTATTATAGTAGGAAGGTCTACTATTTTAGCATGCATCAACCAATGGTCGAAACGTACTTCACCCTGTCGCATATCATTTTCGATTTGTATTGTAAGACGATTTTTCAGATTTTCACCAGATTTGAGAATTTCTCTTAGCAGCTTGGCAGGTTCTTCAGGAAGTCTCATTACGAACTGAGATTCGAGTTCTGCGGGATACTCAGGTTCCCTCTTATCTCTATTCATTTTAGTAAAAAAGCTTGTCCAAAAATTTTTTTATAAATATTTGGTATTTTGCAATGCAGCAAAAAAGAAAGCAAAGCAACACAAACACCAAAGACCAATAAAAGACAAACATAGATTATAAAAATCAGTCAACAGGTTATAGGTCCATGATCAACAGACAGACACATAGGTGTCGATTCTAGCATGATTCTCTAAACCTAAACTTAAATTTGACAGCAGTATATCCTTGTCATTCTCTATACAGAATGAAAAGGACAGACTGATGTTAAATTTAGTTTTAAGTTTAGAGAATCACGCCAGAATCGGCACCATAGACGTAGTACCATAGTCTATGGACAGACAGCACAGGTTACAGTTAAAGTTGTACGTATGTAAATATTGCATTAGCGTTTAAATATTAATTACAATTTAAATTTGGTAATTTTTTAAACTAACGGGGAAAAGCCGACGTAATGTGGACGATAGAACACAAATCATAAAGTTGCAATTTCAGAATAAATATAATTGTGAACTAGCGTATTGAATTTCAAAGGTCAGTAAGGGAGGCAAAAATTTAATAGCCTATTAGCGGCAAAGTAAATCCGCCACTGCTAAAACAGTTACTTTTTTGTAACACGTGGTGTGGTAACCAACCAAATCGAGAACTGCTTCAGTTAGTTCAATGTTATGATATTTAAAGTTTTTTTTTACGAAAAGCTAACTTTAACGAGCAATTCTTGAAAGTTTCATTAGTAAAATCACTTAAAGAATTGTCCAAACCACACAAAAGACACTTTTTAGCCATTTTTTATCACAATGATACAAAATAACGCTCATTGTTTACTAGAGTATCGCTGTCATTCTCTGTCATATGACTACCGAGCATGCGCACTTTCTGATATTCGAGGTCCCATTACATGCGACTGCCATGTTGTGTCCTTTATTATTACACGCTATACTCAATTCGGATCTCTCTGTCACACATTTCCACTCGCGTTAAAATTAAAATCTTCAAAATTCGCAAACCCCTATTAGGACCAAGTTTTTTGCAGACAACCCTATATCACCGTGTTCGCAATAAAAACACGCTCATATTGATATAATTTTTTTTCGATTATCTAATCGAGTGAAGGTAACTGGCATCGACATACCTGTTTATACCTGACAACCGAGTAGTTTGTCCAGGTAAATAATAGGCAACCCAACGGCTGCACATTCTATACGTTTCATACTTTAAGTCAGGGTAAAAATTTTCTTATTATCTTGATGTTGCAAAAATAAAAAAATAAAACATTTTTTTAAATAATTAAAAATTGTCGGTCCAGGATTTTTTTAGGCAACCCATTTTCAACATATTTTCTAACATACTAAATTTGTTATAAAATATGATTCATTCTATTATCAGCTCGGTGAAGATCGTTTTTAGTTCGGATCTTAGACTAATAGAAATAAGTCCAAACTTCCTTTTTTAAATTTGTCATACTTTTGTTTATTAATGATTCTTAATTTTGTTCAGTTCAGTTTTTTTTTTATAATTGTTATTTTTAAATTCTATCTTTATAATTTTCATTATTTGTATAACCTATGTATACGACTGAAGAACTTGTATCCATGGTCATGAATAAACTAAAAAAGAAAAAACGAGGATCGTGTTTAGATACTCGTCATGCCCATTTCCCTCCGTAAACTCGCGCTGCATTTAAACGAGGTATTTTTTTATATAAGTTTTACGGCCTTGGAGTTTCCCATATTGGCCGTAAACGAGGTATAAGAAACACAAAGACACACATTGGTGTCGATTCCAACATGATTCTCTAAACCTAAACTTAAATTTGACAGCAGTATATCCTTGTCATTCTCTATACAGAATGAAAACGAAAGACTGATGTTAAATTTAGTTTTAAGTTTAGAGAATCACGCCAGAATTGGCACCATTAACAACTTTTGCCGTGCAGGCTCTGGCAACACTGATCACAGATTAATTAGGAAATCTGATTTTCACAATTTTTACGGTTGGCTTGGCCTTTGCCGATATAATTTATTTCGCGTAATGCCGCACTATAAAATCTATTAAAAATTCATAAATCATCTACAGTAATCGTCTTTTTAATGAAATTTGTGAAACTCGTAAGAGTTTATTCTAGTTGTGGAAATAGTTTCAAACCGAAGCTATACGTTTGGTAGGTTTTTTGTAGGTAGGTACTGTTGTGAAAAAGTAGTGAAAATTTAAAATTGGCGAAATGGATTTCAAAATGCATGAATACACACATATACTCGTTGGAAAAGTGACTCCAGCACTTCGTTTGACGGATAGAGCTGATTTAAACGATGCTCGACGCCAACACGATTGTTTCCTTCGGCTCCTCGGAGAGTTGAATGTGGAAGTACTGGAATTAGAATTGGGTCACAGTTTTCCTGATAATATATTCCTTGAAGATATAGCCATCATTTGTCATGGTATAGCATTGTTGCCAAAGCCAGCTTCAACCACAGCGGAAATTAAGGTGTGTACTTGTTATTTTATCTGAATATCTTTTACTAATTAAAGCAGGCGAATTTCATGATATTGTGTTGTAATTGATGTTGACGAACTATAAGTATATTTGTTATGTCTTTAAATATATAGAGCTTGTGTCATAATGCAGTGCTAAACTATGAATTTGTAAGAATTATTTCATGTAGAATTTTCCAAAGTACATTAATATTTTATAAGTTTGGTTGCTGTTGCGAAGCATGTTGATAAGTTTTAATATCATTCAGCAGGTTGATTATTAGGCTAAATTGATCATACAATTTAGCCTAATTGATCATACAATTTAGCCTAATTGAATGCTAAGTGAATTACATACTATCTGGTATCTTAAGTTTAGTTTTTTAGGACAGTTTCTGCACCAAGTCCTAATTATTGGACCATTGGACGTGCCATGAAACATTCCGTTTACTCCAGTAGCAGGCTTCCAGAAGCGATTCTGGCAACTGGAGAAGTTGTGCCTGTTGGTCGGCCACACTCCTGCAATCCAGAATGACATGCTGTTGCTGTATAGGTGTTTGTTTAGAAGCAGTGACCAGTCAGGGTTCCTGTAATCTGGCAGAGTTTGTTCTTATTTAGTCTGCTATGGGTGCGGCCAAGTCTCTTGGTTGCCGGCATCCTTCACCTGTTTTCCGCTGTGTTAATTGTGATTTCTGAGTTCTTGCACGCAGCCAGGGCTCCGGAACTTACACTTTTACTTTTACATCATAATTTTATTACACTCAATTGTCAAATTACTATGGACTTTGCAGGAATTTGCCAGTTTGATGTAATATAAACATGATATAATGTAAATTGTGGTGCTCATACTACTGGCACTGGTCAGCAAAGTTTCATAAAAAAGGTCATAGTTTTGTGTTTCTGTTTCAGATAAAAGCTATAAGAGAAACTTTGAGTAAACAACTTGGTCAGACAATAGTTGAGGTGAATGATCCTGATGCCAAGCTCTTAGGATCCGATGTGCTTTTTACTGGTAAGTATTTCACACTTATCAAGGCTAACACAGCATAAATCTAGGCCACACCAGTTGGTTTTGACTCGCATTGAGATTTGACATGACCACATGAGGTTGTAATCAAAATTAAAATAAATAACCAAACAGTGCAATATAATTATTATACCTTTATTTCGGTCCTCCCACAACTTTCTTTTCACTGCAGAATCTGCTGTGCATTTTGTAATTTGTACTCTAAGTTCTAATCACAAGCAGATTCCGCTGTGAAAACAGAGTTTGTTTTTACAGAATAGCACAGCTGTTCTGTCAAATTAAAATAGACACTGTTTTTTCAAATAATATAAAATTCAGATTATATTTTTTAACTTCTTGCCTGCAAGTCAGTCACTAGGAAATAATTTACAGGCCGGGAATTCTTTGTTGGTATATGTGAGACGACTAATGAGACAGGTGCTAGTGCAGTTGCTGAAGCATTCCCAGAATATCCCTGCACACCTATTAAGGTAATAATTACAATATACCTTTTAAAGACTATTAATGATGTCACATCAAATTTATTAAGTCCTGTTACTTTCGTTTTCAGATATCAAAAGGATCCCAACATCTGAAGAAGTACATAACTGTAGCTGGGCCAGATATACTTTGTGTTGGAGGAAGCAAGGAAGCTAAAGAGATACTGAAGAGAATGGAGCGTGAGGCAACATTCTCATACCAGACAGTATCCGTCCCTGAAGATGATGCTGCTAACTGTCTATACATAAATGGAACGCTTATACATAGAGCAATTGAAGAGATTCCTGATTCATTCAAAGTAAGGGTCCTCTTCATTATACTATGTTTTTTTTTCATAGCTAGGTGGGAGCAAATGATACCACTTATGTTTAACATAATCTTTTTCACCATTTTTCTTTGTATCTGATCATCTATCTTCATCTATTCTCTCCACATTGCTTGTTCACACCTCTTTAAAAGGACTTAAGGTAGCAGGAAGACTGCTCATGCTAATGCAAAGTATTTCATTTTGGATAGTTTAACAAATTAATAAGTCACCAAATCTTTGTTGAATAGCACAATTCATTTGTATCAATCCAATTAGCAGGATTGTCATTACTGCATGTTCTACAGAATGTCCAGTTGCATTGTAGATTTCACATTAGGCAGCATTTTAGAATTAAGATGAAGAAGTGGTCTGACCAAGTTAATAAAAAATATTCTTACATAGTATCTGTATTTATTTATAGCATAGGTTCAAATAAAGGATTTTGTAATTAACTCTAGGGCTGACAAAAAGATTAACATAATAATATGCAGGAAGTCTTGTACTGTTAAGTATGTCCAACAAATCTAAGCACACATGTTGGCATTATTAATACTGCAGCAAGTCAGATTAAGCTATGATGGCATAATTCCATGCTGAAAAGTGTGCATCAAGTACTCAAGTATTCTTGAAATCTGACCATTTCAATGTGGCAATTGGTCACTTGCATTTCGAGCGTGAATTCATTATTTCCAAGTAAATAATTCAAGGTTAATGGGAATTTATTGTATTCTTGCAATTTCCACATCCTGAAGTAACAAAAAACGTTTTTTGTGATGTTACAGTATTAGTTGGGTACATTTAGAGGCAAGGGCACATGTTTTCTTTCTCCTCCTCGGTCTGTCTCTTTCACTTTTTTCTTGCATATCTATCTTTGACCTACGAATAACATACATTCTGCCACAGCACTTGTGATATTGTATGTAAATTACAGGCTGGTTTGTATTTTATGTTATCTGAAATATTGTTTTAGAAGAAGATTGCTGCATTTATGAGCACACAGTGCCGTACAGTATTTCAAATATACATCAACTCACCACGCCACTACTTAAGTTTAATCAACAAGATCAGTAAATCCCCATTTAAGTAACAAAGTATATTTTGTAAGTGCAAAGACCACAAATCGACATTACGATTTATTCATATTGAAGACCTAAAACTTGCATTTAATGGACGAGCTCGATGGCATAGCGAAATTTAAAACGAGGTTAATTAGTTGCCAGCTATTTGCCCAATATTCTTCATCTCATAATCTCTCTGGACCTTACCATTTCTTTGCGAAATTAGGAATGGTTCTATATATAATTTCTAATTGAATTTGAAGTTCTATATTTTTTGGAAACTAAATCCAAATGTAGTAAAATTTATGTTATGGTGAAATTAAAACTACGATATTGATACTTAAGTACGGTGATTAAGTTATCTCCACCACCTCCTTACTGAAATAAAGTAATCAATAAATAAATATTTTCAACACTGGCACCAATTAGTCTAGCCCCAAAGTAATGTGTTATGGGATAATAGGGTAACGGATACAATGCATATATAAGTATATTTATGTAGAAAATACATATTAAACATCCATGACTGGAGTACAAATGCTCGTGTTCATCACACAAACATCTGCCCCCACTGGGATTCGAACCTAGGACCTCTCGAGTAGGCGTCATATTTAAAACCGGCGTACAAACCTCTCGGCCACGACCACGAAAATATCGGCAAGTATTGCGATGCGACGTGTCTTAGGATTAGAGTATTTTCTTTAAATTACAATATCACTCTCTAGAAGTGATTTCTGTATTTAAATATTTATAGATATTATATACTTCCATGTATCCGTCTTATTGTCGACCACTAGCTGAAGTGTAATATGACTAAATCTACAATCAGTAGAATGATTTTATGCTCCTTATTTCAGGTGTTTTGTGAGAAAATTGATTTCGCTCGAAGATCGATCTGCTTCTCAGAACTGGCAAAAATCTCTACGGGTTTGAGCTCCTGCTGTCAATTGGTAAGGAAAAGTTAAATTGACAAAGTAATACATTATGGAATACCCAATTTGAACTGGTGGGTATCAGAAAAGGCAAAAGCACCAAGCCAATGTGTTCAAAAATAAAAATCAATGCTTATTTATTGTTATATTAGTAATGCCTGATAAATTTATATTATACATACATACTATGTATGTATATATTGCGTATAAAATAAGTAAGGTGGAACCTATGTATTACATAGGTTCCACCTTACTTATTACCCTTTTAATGTATGTGACCCTACATGCAAGACTTATTTATGGTTGTCTTAAAAATGATATGATACATAATTCAAATATTATCATTGTCTGTTTCAAACTAATTTGATAAAAGTAGAAGTTGGCTATTTATAAATAACAAATAATAACAATAATAATTTTATTTGTTATTAGAAATTACAATTTATTAAAATATGTAAGGACCCTTTTATGTAATTTATAACTATGAACGAATTGTTAAAATAATGCGGATAAATATGTATACAGTACAGTACAGTGGCAATAAGTTTGACTCTTTTTATTAACTTTTATTTAATTGATTTTAAACTGACTGTGCAGGGTAATAATTTTATCTGTTTGAGGTTGTGTCATTTCAAAGTTGTTACGTACAATAGGTTGCTTTTTTAATAAAATATCTGTATTTTATTTATTGGTTAAAGTTGATACAGTGGTTAATGTGCTGGTATCCTCTGGATGCCATTATAATGCGTGTTTAAGTAAAAATGCAAATTATCTTTCCAATTTATCGATTTGTAATTTAAAGTGCTAATGCATATTCAATGTGTCTTTTTATATCATTTTCTGCACAAGGAATGCTTTGAGCAATATCATTAATTTAACTATGTAATATTGCGTGTTGTTTTTTCTTTTTACTATTATTGGAGCAATACTGCTGCTTGCGTATTAAATTATAATAACATTGCATCATTGTGTGCTTTTCATGCATACAACATACAACAAGAAATTCGATTAATTACGAAGATGAATATCTTCAAAACCGTTTACCTCAACATTTTTAATGCTTTAGTATATTTAGTACAAACGATTGTTTTAAAACATGAAAGTACATAGATGTGAAACATTTAGCATTAATTTTATGTTAGTTTTAATTCTGTTTCGAGCACAAATATTTATTCTTTATAATAAGTATTACCTTCCATTAATACCTCATGGTCCCATTCCTCAAAGGCCGCGTTGTTTGGTAGTTACTTTAATTTGACTTTTAGCCAATGTCACATCAAATACATAGTAGAAAGTGTCAAATATTGGCAAATGTTTATTTTTTCTGTAATGCTATTTTAACTATAGTCAGATTTAACTATGCATCAAACAACGTGGCCTAAGTCTGTAAGACTGATTCTGCATGTTCCCTAATTTTATAGTATTATATACTTATGGGTGTGCATTTTTCGAACCATTCCAGTGAAACTAATCTCTTGTGTGTTGCGTCACAAATTTGTGTATTTTTCGTTTCATCAAATTATAGTATTAGTAGCTTTATGCTTTTAGAATATAAATAAAATGATTTTAGCAATTTGTGAATTCCTTAAGGATTGTGGTCAAATTAAATTTTACTTTATAATTATTATGTAGTTGATAAAAATCATTCCTTTTACGCCACGACCACCAAAGCCACGTCTATCCATGTTTTTATATTAATTATAATAGACTATTTGTCAAGTTTTTGAAAACGTACGTTATTTATTATTATTAGTATATAGTGACTCCATAAAAGTGGATATTTATAATTCTGTTGCGTATAACAGTAAAAAAAATCGGTTTTCAAATATACCGCGGACATATGCTCCAGCAAATATGGCGTGTTAACAGGCAAGTAACGTCACACGCCTTTTATTGAAACGTCATACAGTATGAAGTAATGCCACTGACGGCTTATTTACAAGCAGGTGACGTCATTTTAGGCTAGGCATCAATCCTGGACCTTTTCGGTAAAAAAATACTTTTCTATTGAACTATTTTAGCAACGATATTAAATACCTAGATACACCAAAAAAAAAACAACTTGCTCTTAAAATGTGTCCTGTGTGTGTCTCTCATGTGCTTGAACACCATTCAAGCACTTCCTGGTTTACAGTAGCGCGGACCGTTAAAAAGTCAAGATGCCGCAGATCTCGGTGAAAAAATGCGAAAAACTTAAATAGCTCGTAGAGTGCCGTTTTTTCGACGTATCTAATCAATGTTTCTTAATTTTTCATTTGAAGCAAATTTTGTTGTAATACTGTAATAATAGAAAATATTTGTGATATTCAAATGCATGGTCGGTTATATAGCCGTCTCTTTTCCTCGCGGTCAGTACCTGCTATATTGCTAACAGCGCATTCAGAATTGCGCGTACAGGCAAATCAATAAAGTCTATATTCTTCCGCATATATATAAGACGCATAGCAATAAGTCGTAGAATTTTACGAGCTTGCATTTCCAACTGTTACAACTCAACTCATCCGTTTAAATTAAGGCCTTAATTACAGTATGTATTAAAGGTGACTTTCAATATTTAAATAATGCCTTATATTGTTTTTGACTACGCTTTCATCTTAGGGAGCTCCGTGGATCAATGTACCTTTTGGATAGGTTTCGGACACGATTTTGTTCGTGTTGTTGTATCTAGGGTATTAAATATCGTTGATTTTTAGTAATATTATTAACTACTCTTTTTTGAATAGTGATATTGCTCCCAATATTCATATTTTATACATATGTCCATAATTGTTACTTTATTTTTCATATTGTCCAATAGCCTATTATAGAAGTTATTTAACGTTTATGTTTGATTAAAGATTAAAACATTTGTATGGAGGGTGGTAGTCAGTCTCCGGCAGACTCCAAATTTTTGTGACATGTAGTGCACTTTTTAATTGTAGTTTTTTTTTCCTACGATTTACAATTGTGAAATTGTAAATCGTTGGAAAAAAAAAATAGAATTAATTTGATCCCCGTTTTTATTTAAATAATTATTTTAAATTTAAAATTACATTGTTATTGAATTGTCATTAGCAAGACTTTTTACGTAATATTTATATATAATATCTTTTCAATTTTATACATAAAATCAAATGATATATGTTTTATCGCTGCCGAAAACCGACTACCATTTTTGAATCGTCTCCTTTTACCTCTGTATCTCCCCGTAGCATGAGCACCACAATTTATACATTATATCACGTCTTTTATCGCGTCCAACTGTTAAACTCCATAGTAATTTGACAATTGGGCGCGATAAAATCGCGTTATATATCGTGGTGCTCATGCTAGGGAGGCATGACAATGGTGTCGATTCTGGATGGATTCTCTAAACTTAAAACTAAATTTGATATCAGTCTGTCCTTTTCAGTCTGTATAGAGAATGACAGAGACACACTCTTGTCAAATTTAAGTTTAGCTTTAGAGAATCATGCCAGAATCGACACCAATGTATTCTGATATCGCATTAAACGTTGACATTATAGATATTATAAACATGGACATAATATTATGTATTTGTCATTTGGGTTAAGAAATAATTTATTAGGTTGGTACGTTTTATCCAAGAATCGGTTGATCAGCCCTAAATGCCGATATTATTTTATGTCTGCGATACAGGCATATTTGTCTGCATTTCGACGTGTCATTTTTTTAATTTGATTTAATAATGTATACGCCTTTGGCATGAATTAAATGTGACATTGTGGTAGGAAACCGTAATTCTTTAAAAATAACTTACATTTTACTCATATTTATTTCTTGACTAAAATTGTGTAAATTTCATTTTAATAATCCAGTATTAGAATGTTCATAAATAATGTTATTTATTGATATTAAATATTATAAAAAAAATCTAAGAATTATATTTTCGCGCTTGCGGTGGTTTTTTTAAACTGCTATCATTGATTAGTTTATGCATAAAAGATTTATGAACGGTTTTGATTAGCACTTATTAAAAGAGTAACACATCTTTAATAGGTTGAATTTAAAATTTACATATTATGCAAAATTTGTGATTCGGGTAAACTAACTAGTTACTGTATTGCTGTTTCATATAATTACATTATTGCAATTACTGAAATTTTATATGAAAATGTATATGTACTAAATTAATTTTATTTGCTGTCCGGTTATTACTGCAGATATGGTGTGTCAAAATAATCATTACGTATTATTCTGTATTTATAGCAATAGTATATTAGGTTATAAATAAAAAGAAAACTGTGTCCAACAACATTTTCACAAGGCATGGTTTACACAAGCACAAAGTTTCTAAAACTAAATTATTCTTATGTGTACTATTTGTAATAACTTATTGCTTTGATATTTATATTGTTTGATTAATATATTTGTGACGTTGATAAATTCTTAATTTTATAAGTAAGTAATTTTATATATTTATAATGTAGCTTTTACATCATAAGATATTTGTAAAAGTAATGTGTAATTTTGGCACTTTTCTTGGCTATTCGTGATTGATATTTGTAGACTTCACATCAGTCTGTCCTTTTCATTCCTTATAAAGCATGATAAGGACAGACTATTTTTTTTATTTAACACACCAATTAGTCTAGCCCCAAAGTTGTACAAACAAATACTCGTATTCATCACACAAACATCTGCCCCCACCGGGATTTGAACCCGGGACCTCCAGTCGGTGACATCATGAAACCCGGCGTACGAACCACTCGACCACGGAGGTCGTCAACTATTGTCAAGTTTACAAATAGCAAATATGAATAGCCAAGTGAAGTGCCGCCATAACATAACACTAGAATCAAACATATATTTAAACAATATAATAAACATTCAACATACCAAATGGTCTGAACTATAGTTATGCATTTAACATAATTAATACTAATACTATCTTTTGCACAAAAAGGCTTATAAAGCTTACGTGTTCTGATATATCGGCTACATTTTACATTTAATTTATCTTAGTATTCCTTAACTTATTACAATTACAAAGTTATTAGATCTCTTTACGTATTACGTGCATAGCTTATTACTAGCTGTTGTGTTTTAGAAAAAAATATTATTAATTATGGTGTGTTCACATTGACGTGTTCTTTTATATCCGAACACTGTTATCAAAACCCAGAAAGTTGACCCTAACTTTGACTTTGAAAGGAAAGGTAATAAAGAAGCGTTTAAATAAATTATAATAATTATAAATCAGTTATTCCTCACCATAATCCATTCGGATAACAGAAGCAAAAGGTTTCTATACAAGTCGATACAAGATTATGGCAGATTGATATCTGAACTATGAATGATCCTGTATCTCAGGTTATCAACGCTCCATCTCACTCTATTTACGAATAATATTTGTGCAGTTATTTTGTATTTAAAAGCTTACAATTGTTAAAATTTTGTGGGTATGAGTGTTTTGTGAAACCTTTGATCGATTTAGATTTCTTAAATCGGTCTATACAATTTTTTAATTGTCTCCGTCTCTCTTGTAATCTATTCGGTTACGTAGAAGGCTAAGGGATTTCTACCCTTGCAGGTGCCGGCTAAGCTTGTTCACGATTAAGAGCCCTTTAACAAAATTGCGCCGGTGCCATACTGATCGGCGCGTAGGTAGATTTGCACTAGTAATATTGCATTATACGGGTGATGTTTCGAGTCTTATAAAATAATTATTAATGACCTAATTATAAAAATATATACATATATCAGTAGTTCAAAGATGGTACATTAGTTTTATGAAAGTTTTTGATAGTAATTCTATTTAATTCAATATCAAAATACGAGGTAACCTGCATTATTTTTTTGGGAAAACTCACGGAGGTTAGATGTCTTTTTTGATAATTAATGAGATAAAAAATCATAATTCTAATACATTATGTTACAACAAAAATATATTTCTGATGTCGTAGTAAATAATTTGATCTAATTTATTGAACATTATTTAGAGATTGAGCCGTTTGCACATATTGTGCATATTATCGTTTTTTCCGTAAAGTAGCTGCGGTAGGACGATCAGTACAAAAAAAGGAAAATAGTATTTGCAAATATTCTACATTAACTAACAATAGGAAGAATAAATCTACTGTTTACTTCTATTGGAAATAGTCAAAATCTTTTCTAAGGTAAACGAGGCGCTCAAAAATTACGATTTTTTGCAAAAAATGTGAAAAGGCTCTTAAGGTTTGTACGTTTGTACCGGCCCCAAACCGTCAGTGTCTTTAACTTCAATAGTGTACTGTGGCGGTCTACCCTGAAGGGATAGGCCTGGGAGCGTAGCTATGCTACGGTTTACGAAATAATAATCACGAAATACTTTGTCATTCTGAATTTATAGCGAATTACTTAAAATCCATATTATTAACTATTCTAGTCTGTGCCTGAATTCTATCTCCTGGAATCTTCTATCAAAAGACAGAAGATTCCCAATTTCAAATCATTAAAATAACGACATTAACTTTTTAATATAACTGCCAGCCGTAGGCATTACATAAACAAAGAGTTTATACAAGCAAAGAGGCCGTAACGCAACGGGCGTTACAGTACCTTAACTGACGACTGGACGTAAACACGGGTTAAAACCATACCAAGACCCGGCCAGAAATCGTCTCGTGAACATTCGCCCTTATACTGTAATCAAAAAGAAAGAGCTTGGATTTTA